GTTTGAGTGTGAGTGGGTAAGTTCAACATCCATGCCCTGGGATCATCCCAGTGACAACCATCCATCTGGGTCACATGATCAACATAACATAACATACCGATTGGGAATTGGGAGATACCAGTAATAAGGTCAATGTGTGCAGCGACTGATGAGTCGATCACTGGATCGGTGGCAGAACGCAGGATGGAGTTGCCAGTGATCTGATGAGTGTACTTTTGGATGTGCACCTTCATCATCTTCTCGACGTTCTCACGAGCCATGACAACCTTGATCGAGTCCATGTTGCGGTGGTAGGTCACACTGAGTGGACTGTGTGCGGCGAGCCATTGGTCGACGGCGTTTAGGGTCTCCTTGGTGGGCTGGACGATGGCGGTGACGTCATCTACAGAGAGGTAGCGGCCGTAGAGTGGCGAGCGTGGGTCAGAGACCTCGCGCACCTTTTGTTCAAGTGCGGCGCGGTTCTGCTGGCGCAGAAAAAGTGTGAAGCTGATCGGATGCTTGGGGCAGAGCTTGGCGTCTGGCTGCACGTCCCACTTGAGTTGTGGGTAGTGCTTAGCATGAGCACCAAGTGCAACAAGTGTCACAATAACAATCAACAATAATGATGATGTCTTAAACATTGTTTGTTTGTATTTAGTTGTAGATGTATAGATTGATATTGAAATGAATCATTGTTCAACATCAAAGGGAAGGGAAAGGACTCGTTTTTGATCATCTGAATATGTGGGTGAGTGTAGATTGATGGTGGGAATGCCCCATTGGGCGGAGGTGGGAATGAACTTGGTGTCTTAGGAGTGACGTCAAACGTAAGAGTAGAAAGAAAGTTCAAACATGTTCGATAGAACAATTGGATTCTTCCTCGGAAGATCCTTTTAATATATCTTCATTCCCTTGGAATTTAACTACTTCTGATCAATCAACATCCAATACAATGTGTTGTTCAGGATGTACAGCTCATTAATAATGTAACAGTTAATTCTAGATATCTCTATAACACCAGAATGAGAAATACCTTGTCATTGAGCGACTCAATATTATATCTATGTTTGGATATTGTTGGATGAATGAATGAATGAATATGTGCGTGAAGCAAGCACACTGTTTTGGTGAACCTCAATCAACCAATGAATGAAAGAATGAATGAGAGAGAGACAGAGAAAGAGATAACAATGCTGGACCAGTTACCTCATATTATAATCAAACAATTGTTATCATATGATGATGAACTATTATCAAATATTGATAAGATATGCTTCTCATTGACTTGTACTAAACTATACAACGCTCGTGATAAATATATTAGACTATATCCTAGATATAATCATTATGGTGTTCATAAGTCTATATGTCAATCACCAATATACTCAACGATCAACTACTTTACAGACAATGACAACGACTTTAACATCCACATCAAATACAACAACAACAAAATCAACAATACAACCAAAGAGATCAAACAGATCAAACTGAACTCATTCCGTCATGTCATCATCAAGTCACTCATTCAACAACTTCAAGATTATGAATACGAAAGGCAACATAACAAGTCAATATACGCTCTACGCACTAATGGATGTGAGAAGAACATACCAAGCACAGTCAGCCACTTGGACTTTACATTCTTCAGAGGCGACATCGACGCATTGAACGAGAAGGACATGCAGTGCACAGTGACCCACATCATATACGGTGCCGACAAGCCTCTTCCCAACATCTCTCGCTTTGGCCACATCACTCACCTCTACTTGGTACGCGACTACGGCCAACCTATACAGTCTGGAACCATCCCAGACACAGTCACCTCACTCAGATTTGGTAATAACTTCAATCGAGTGATGGCTCCTGGTGTGCTCCCTCGCTCAATCACTCAACTCTCCTTTGGCAATTGGTTCAAAGAAGTGCTCATGGCTGACTCGATCAATAGACAGGTACAATACCTGACCTTTGGTGACCATTTCAACCAGCCGCTATCGATTGGAGTGCTCCCCGATCGACTCATTAGTCTGACATTTGGCCGAAACTTCAATCAACCAATCGAGGCTGGTGTGTTGCCTGCCTCGTTACGTGATCTATCATTTGGTGATTTATTTACTGATTGGTCAAATGCCTCAAAGTTCAATAATTGTCTGTCACCAGGTTGTCTTCCACCCAACCTTCAGTCACTATTGCTTTCGGACGTCTATAACCACGAATTGCTACAAGGTGTCTTGCCTGCCACACTGCAAAGGATAAAGTTAGGCAAGGAATTTAGGAAACCACTAAAGCATGGCCAACTTCCAAATCAGTTGGCCATCTTCGAGATGAATTCTACCAATTATTGTTGGAAAATAGAGCCCGGCGTCTTTCCATCAAGTATCACACGCATGGACATCTCTTTCCTCGCATCACATCTTGCTAAAGGTGTGCTGCCGCCCAATGTCAAGACCCTCGGGCTAGGAGTTCGCTTCACTGATGTTGACGATCCGATACCATGCTCAGTTACTTCACTTGATCTCACTGAATGCATCTCCTACTCAAACATGCCAAACCTGTTACCGCATGGACTTCAATCAATCAAATACCCACAATCAGCGATGGCACAATCCAAGTTGGAAGAACATGTCATTCCCTCAACAGTGCAATCGATAGTGTTGCCAGCTGTTGGAGATGATTTCACAATACATCCAAGGGCATTACCTCAATCATTAACATTCTTGATGGTACCCAATCTACCAACTACAGCATTGTCATTAGCGCAATGCTTGCCCAACTTGGCCAGAGGATGTACACTCAGTCTGGAATCGACAGATCTTACTATATCATATAGTGTCCCGTTCAGAGATGCACAGTTACTATTCTTCTCCAGTGAAGGCGCCCTCTATCATCTTGCTGCCAATCATATTAACATTATATTGACAAATGGAACACGTACAATCAACATTAGATTCATTGATCATTCACTATGTTTAGTGTTATGTGATATACTACAAGGTGGATTCATTCCAATCTCCAAGTTGGCCGAGAAACAGTTCATTCCAATGATTGACACAGCCTATGACTCAAGGGGCACTTACATCATAGATCTCTTTTGACAATTTTTTGATCAGTTGATTGATCATTCAAAGATCGGTCATTAAACATATTATTATTATTACTTTCCACTCTTGATCACTGGAACTATTCCAATCACATGATCACTCACTCACTCTCACTCAATTAACAATCACTCACACTCACTCGATCATCATCACTGGAACTATTCCAATCACCCGATTACTCACTCACTCAATCAACCAATAGATAGATAAGATGGACCTGTTCCCACACTTGATCATCAAACAACTGCTATCATATGATGAACTTAGTAATCTTGATAAGATATGCTTCGTGTTGACATGTAGATCATTGTACAATGCACGTGATAAATACTTGAGACTAGAGTCCAACAGTCGAATGTTCAAGAAACACAACATACATCACTCTCAACGCACATTGCCAATGTATCAATCACGAATTGGCCATGTTGTCGACTACTTTGCCAACACCAACAACAAGTCATTCAAATTGAACTCATTCCGCAGTGCGATCGTCAAGTCACTGACGCAAGAGGCAGAGTATGGCGCAGACGTTGACCAACACGCAGCCTCCATCTACTCACTGATGACCAATGGATGCGAGAGGAAGATAGCCCCCACAGTGAACCATCTCGACTTCTCATTCTTCAAGGGCGACTTCAACAAGTTGGACGAGAAGGCGATGCAGTGCAAGGCCACTCACATCATATTTGGCTGCGATCTGGCCCTGCCCCGAGACCTCTCTCGCTTCGGTCACATCACTCATCTCTTCTTGGTGCACAACTTCAATCATCCGGTGCTGGCGGGTGACATACCCAACACAGTGACATCACTCAAGTTTGGAAACAACTTCAATCATGTGTTGACGCCAGGTGTGTTGCCAAAGTCCATTCGTCGACTATCCTTTGGCTATCAATACAACCAACCACTGGCACGAGGCACGATACCAGACAGGCTTGAATGTCTATCCTTTAGCGACCTGTTCAATCAACCGATCGAGGTGGGTGTGCTGCCCATCACGCTCGTCGACCTGTCTTTCGGCTCCACCTTTGACCAATCCCTCGCGCCCCGCTCTCTGCCACCCAATCTCAAACACTTGATACTGTCGGAGCGCTTCAGCGGACTTGGTGTGGGCACGCTGCCTTCATCATTGCTCAGTCTAAAGATGAATTTGATACAAGGCCAACTCTTGTTGCCAGACTATCTCCCCGCTCACATGACTAGCCTCACATTGACCGTGGGCCACAACAGCTGGAATGGGCGACTTGAGCCCGGGGTGCTGCCAGCATCACTCACATACCTGGCGCTGTGGAACTTCCAGGAGCAGTTGGTCAAGGGCGTGTTGCCGCCCAATCTCAAGATATTCAAGGCAACTGGATACAATGTCAATTGTTGCTGCAGGGAGGTGGGCACGATCCCCGACTCGGTTGAGGAGATCGACCTGGCCTCAAACTCATTCATTGGCTTGCCCCTCGTGCCTGGATATCTGCCGCCACGTCTTCGATCACTCAAGATGACAGGACACGTCCCCACGTCAATACCTGCGCACTTCTTCCCATCGACGCTCCAATCAATCGAGTTCCCATCTGGCTACAATCATGCACTGCCACCCAACGCATTGCCACCATCGGCAACATACCTCAAACTGTCAGTCAGCTTTGATATTATGATGAGCCAATGTCTGGTCAACTTGGCCAAGGGCTGCACGCTGGTGATCGAGTCGTCCGAGCAGACCAATCGCTTCACAATACCATTCCGAGAGAGATTGGATCGATTCCTCTCGAATGAGGCCATTCACTTGGCCAACAATAGTATCAACGTCATTGTATTCAATAGGAGTCTAGAGTTCACCATCAGATTCATCAATCAATCTCACTGTCTTGTATTATGTGATATACTACATGGTGGAATCATTCCAGTTGATCAACTAACTGACAAGACATTCATACTCAAGTATATCTCTCCAACATATGATTCATTCGACAAAGTACTCGTCTCGTCCTTGGCCTAGGCTTGGCTCGTCCATCAGACCAATCAAGATCTGTTCTTTCATTCATTCAATCAAACAGTCCACGCGAGACCACCATCATCAAAACACACTTGTTCCCATTTTTGGAGTCCCGTCAAAAAGCCCAACGACACCACGTTTTTGCATCAATCGAAAACAGATCTTCGATCAACACGATGACCAGATTCATTCAATGCAATTCATTCCGAACGTAATGAATGAATGAACCCAACCTACTTGTTGTTGTTATGCGTCATTGATCGACACACATAATCATTCATTCAATTAATCAATCAATCATACTTGTAAAATAGTTAAACAAACAAATAATATAATATACTTGTAATAATAATAACAATAATAATATGTCTATATCATTGAAGGTCAACATTGTGTCGGCCAACTCGGTAAAGACATTTAGGTTCTCACCCGAGATGTCAATTGGTGAGATATGCCAGTTGATAAAGGAGAAGACTAATGAGGGTGGTGACGATCATGGTCTGTTTCAACCGGGTGTGGAGGGCAGGACCAACGCACGTTGGTTGCAGCCAGACAAGTCGTTGCAGTTCTACGACATCAGCTCAGACTCACAGCTCGACTACAAGAAGAAGCACCGACCCCAGAAGATCAAGCTGCTGGACGACACCATCAAGACGCAGCTGGTCGACGAGAGCACCAGCGTCAGCGACATTGTCGATGGCATCGCCAAGAAGATGGGCATCAAGAACCCCGAGGAGTATTCGCTGCAGAAGGATGGCGGCGACTGGCTCAAGAGCAACCAGATCCTCGCCGAGCAGGGCGTGGCCGACACCGACATCCTGATGTTCAAGAAGAAGTTCTTCTTCAACGATGCCAACATCGATCGTAACGATCCTGTCCAGCTTCATCTGCTCTATGTTCAATGTCGCGACGCCATCGTCGAGGCCAAGTACCCCACGCAGCGCGAAGAAGCACTTCAGTTGGCTGCACTCCAATGTCAAGTGTCAATGAGTGACTTCAACCCAGCCAAGCATGGTAATGGATATCTCAAGTAAGTTAGTTACAACATCTACATCATTCATTCGTTGTACTCACTCTTATCATCATCGGCATCACCAGTTTGAGAGAGTACCTTCCAGTTCAATGGGCCAAGGCAAAGAACTGTGAGAAGGACATCTACAAGGAGTACCGCAAGTTGGTCAGCATGTCTGAGGTCAATGCCAAGTACAGATACGTTCAACTCTGTCGTTCCCTCAAGACCTACGGTATGACTTCATTCAATGTCAAGGTATGTCATTCGCAAAGAAGTCCCCGCCAAGTCACTCAATCACTCACTCATTCAATCAATCAAACAAACATAGATGAAGCCAAAGGAACATGGAAAGAAGAAGCCAGTCGACATGGTACTGGGTATCACTAGGGAGGCGATGATATTGATGTTGGAGGAGACAAAGGAGGTGCAAAAGACACATCCATTGACTCATATTAGGCGATGGGCTGCCAGTGAGAAGTCGTTCACCTTTGACTTTGGTGACCATGAGGACGAGTACATGGTGCTGCTCACCAACAACCCCGAGGAGATCTCCACTTTGATCGCAGGTTACATTGACATCATCCTCAAGTCACGTCGCGACACCACCAAGCACAACGACAAGGACGAGACTGCCATGGCGATTGAGGAGAGTGTGGCCATCAAGCGTGGAACCGCCTCTGCCACCAGCACATTCAACTATGGTGCTGGCAATGGCGGCGGTAACTACATTGCCCCATCTCAGCAAATTCCCATCACTGATCTCAAGAGTGCACTCAGAGCTACCGACCTGCTGATTGGCGAGTTGAACTCAATGAGAGGATCTGGCTCTGGTGGACCCATGCCCCAACAGTTCTCGCGATCATTCACCACGTTGACTCCACAGCAGTTCAAGCATCAGCTGATCTCCCACGCCAATGCACTCTCAGCCGCTGCCACCACACTGCTCTCGGATCTGTCCACACCACAGGCTGGCGGCATGTCCACCACCCACAAGCACATTCTCAGTCGTGCACAGGTCATGATGGCAGAGATGAGCACTGTTGGAAGCTGCGCCAAGAATGCAGCATTCATCCCAGAGTTGGCCAGCTTCTCAGACGAGATCATTGAGGTCGCCACCAAGCTGTCAGACGCCATGTCTAAGTTGCTCACGTCGGCCGTGTCTGTGAGTGACAAGGTGATGGATGAGGAGGCCAAGGCCGCTGCACAGCAGCACGTCTTCACCACCAACGCCCTGGCCACAATGATGATGGCCGCCGTCGACAACATGTTCGTGACCGAGAGCAGCGCCCATCTTTTGCTCGAATGCGTCAAAAGCGTGCAGTCAGCATCCAACGTGCTTTGCGACCTCGGCTCAGAGAAGTGCGAGATGGTCGACGACAAGATGCTCAATTCGCAGATCAAGGGTTCAATGTCCGATATGTCAATGACAGCGGACAAGCTGGTCACTGTTGCAGAGAGTGTATCACACACTGCCTGTCACCCAGAGAGCAGAAAGATGCTAGAGTCCCTCTGTGTCAACATCAAGCAACGCACCAACACTATCGCCACAAGCTTCAAGTCGAGCGATCTCCCCGCTCAAGACATGACCCTGCTCGAAGGCAAGGTCCAAGATGTGCTTGATACTCTTGGCCTTGTGTCCAGCGCATTGGATTGTGCTGAGCAGCGACCATCTGGAGGCGCCAACGACGCCCAGACCCTGAACCTTTCAAGCGACCTCCTCACTGAGGAGTTCTCAACTCTCTCGAACGACCTCACCAACTCAATCTCCATGCTGCGTAACAATCTTGGCAACACACCAGAGTCCATTCTCGAGTCATTCAAGGTCGTCGCATCAAATGCCAACCGCATGATCTCATGCACCAAGACTGTGGCCGGTCGCGCTGACCTTGCCACCCAACAGCGTCTCTTTGCCTCGACCACCGCTGTGTTTGAGTCTGTGTCTCACCTGTCCAACACTTGTCGTCGTCTCATCAGCAACCCCAATGATGCCGACTCTACCTCGGCCGTGATCAACGCCGCTGGCCATCTCCAATCACTCACTCAGAGCATGTCTGTCGATGCAGGAACACTGGCCTCAATCGTGGCCCTGCGTGATTGCTCGCGTGACATGATTGCCAACGCCTCACACCTTGTGTCATCGGCTCGCGTGTCCAGCGCTCACTTGCCCGAGGCCTCCAGCGCCGTCCTGATCAAGGCTTCAAAGGAGGTGACTGATGCCATCAGCAAGTTGATGGCCGGTCTGAAGCGTGTCGCTCAGACCGACTCCAAGTCGGAGCAGGCTCAGCTTGAGCTCCTGCAGATGTCTCAGAAGCACTCACTCCCACCAATGAACCTGGTGTCCGCTTCTAAGCGTCTGGCCTCCAAGATTGCCGACCCCAACCAGAAGCAAACCCTCATCTACTCATCTGATGCCGCATCAGCATCAGTCCAGAGATTGATGCGCACTTGTGAAGCTTACAAGCGCATTTGTGGACATGCTGAGATCGAAGAGTCGCTCGAGGCATTTGACTCAACCTTGGCTGAGCTCGAGACCATGGAGATCGCCATCCAAGGTGGTTTCGTCGAACCAGTGCCCGCAGGACAATCCCGTGACTCTACCACTGAGATGCTGATGGTGGCCGTTAAAGACCTCAACCAAATGAACAGTGGACTCACCAACGAGGTCAGAAGCAACCCAGCACGACTGGGCGAGCTTGTCAAGGATGCTACCAGCGCAGCTGGCCAGGTTGCTCACGCGTCCAAGGCAGTCATTGCCACTTTGCCAACAAAGGCTGCTCAGAAGAAGCTCCTAGCTTCCACCAAGCAAATGACCATTGACATGCAGCAATTGGTTCGCGCGTCAAGATCAGTCGCCACCAACCCTGGCGATGCCAGTGCCGAGCTCATCATGGAGTCGGCCGAGTCTGATGTATCATCTACCGTGGCCTCACTTGTGGCTGCCTCCACTCAAATCGATTGCAAGGAGCTTGAAGAGGCATCAAACGACATCAACTCATACATCTCTTCCAAGCTTGGACAGGCATCACCAGCATCCAGCGACTCATTCCAAACTGTATCTGAGGAGATGCAGGCATCACTCAAGGCATTGAATGCCGCTGTTGTCCAGGTTGTCTCAATGGCTCGTTCAAAGAACCTCAAGGGACTGGGTGCCAGCGCCAAGATTGTCAGCTCCACCGTCAACACGTTGGTCATGTCATCCAATCAGGCATCAGTGACTTGCAACAACGAGCAGATGCAATCTGCAGTTCTGGCCACCACCGGCACACTCTGCGCCAACATTGTCACCTTGTTGGACTATGCCAAGGCTCGTGTAGCCAACTCCAAGGACCCAGTCTACGATCAAAACTTGGTCACATGCTCCAAGTCCATCGAGGACGCCTCCAACAAGGTGTTGCGCTCGATTGGTTCGGGCAACAGTGGAGTGTGCAACGAGTCCATTGAGATGATCCTTCAGGCCACCGCCACCCTCGACAAGCAGGTGTTGCCAGAGATCAGCAATGGTATCGTCATTTCTGGAGGCGCCATGGCGCAGCAGCACAGTCTGCTCGCTCTGTCCGATGCCGCCAAGGCACTGGGCAAGAACACTTCCGATGTGGTCACCAGTGGTCGTCGTGGTAATGTCAACGCACTCGGCGAGAGCTCAATGGACATTGCCAAGATCGTCGTGGAGCTGGTCAACTCTACACGCAACATTGTCAAGTCTGCCATGTCCTCTGCCGCGCCAGACGTCCTTGTTCCATCCAAGGCCATCTTGGACGCCAGCTCACTCATCTCGCACAGTGGCCAAGACTCTACCGCTATCCTTGCGGCCGCACGCACCATTGCTTCGGCTGCCACCCAACTGTTCACCGCCACCAAGGACATGATCGCCAATGAAGAGGACGAGATTCACAAGGCACAGCTGTTGACCACTTCTCAACAACTCGCCAACGCTGCCTCAACCGTGGCCAAGTCTGTCAAGTCTGTCACAGCCAAGGAGGCCGGCGCATTCCAGAGTTTGTCAACCTCATTGCGCGACCTTGAGTCGTGCACCAGCAACCTCTTGATCGCCGCTGGAGACTCACATGCCAACGCCAAGGAGTTTGAGCGTTTGATCAGCGCATGCCGATCGACCTCCTCAACGACCGCCCAGGTGATCACCGACGCCTCCAATCTCTCGCTCAAGACAAAGGACAGCGAGCTCCAGACTCGCCTCAACGAGTCGGCCATGTCCATGTCCAGCGCCATTAAGGACGTGCTGAAGATCGGCTCGGCCATGATGCCAGGAGTGATCATGTGTGAGGACGCCATCGACATTGTCCAGAAGGCCATTGGTGACCTGTCTACCATGTCTCTCACCGTTGCCGTCGGTACTCCATTCGAGTCCTCTGGCAACATGTCTCATCTCGAGAGCCAGGAGCACATCGTCGAGATCTCCAAGTCGATTGGCAAGGGAATCAACGATCTTCTCAAGGCCTCCCGTCAATCACCAGAGGCTATTGGTCAGTCTACTCGTGCACTTGCCTTCACCGCCCCACATTTGGCCTCATCGACCAAGTCCTCGCTGGCCACAACCAAGGACCAGGAGGAGCAGAGTCGCATCGTGTCCGAATCGAAGAACCTTGGAGACGCCATGCTTCGTCTGTGCCAGGCTTCCCTGGCAGCCAGCTCCAACCCATCCAAGGAGACCTACCAGGTGATTATCCAGCGTTGCCAAGACGCTTCGGATGCCATGAGCAAGCTCGTCGCCCAGGTCTCATCTGGTGTCAACATGTACCGCGACATTGATGACTCACTCGAGATCATCCGTGGCTCGCACAACACACTCAACAGCAGCCCATCCAAGGACGACGACAACAAGTCATACCAGGATTACAAGGAGCGCATTCAGACCCTCACCAAGGATCTGGCCATCGCACTCAGGAACATCAGTACCACCGACCAGGGCAACTTGGTGGCTATCTCCACCATCTCAAAGGACATGGCCACATTGGTCCAACAGATCGCACTCAATGTTGCCGCCGTCATGCAGACCAGTGGCGACCAGAAGGTCAAGGACGCAATTCTGTCCAATGTCAAGCAGGTCATCAACGCCACATCGCTCACCGTCACCAACTTCAAGCAGGCTTCACAGGGTGCACCAGGCGTGACCGCTGTCTCCCTCAACGACGCGTTCAAGTCGGCCAGCGACAGCATTGCCAAGTTCATGCAATCAATCAAGCAGGGTGCCATTGGTGAGATCCAATGTGATGCTGCCGTCGATGTCATCAAGAAGCTCATCTGTGATGTCGATGCTCATTCTTTGTTCGCCGCAGCTGGCCAGCTTGAATCGACCCCAATGTCATCGGCCACACGTGCCAACCATCTCAGCGCCCTCCAAAAGGATGTTGTCATTGCCGCCAAGATGCTGATTGTCTCAGGCTCTCAGCTCGTTGGTTCGTCCAAGGGTACCCAAGAGAACCTTGGTGCGGCCACTACCAAGTTTGCCGACCTGATCACCAGACTCGCCCACGGCGCCAAGGAGGTCGCCAGCACTCTCAAGGACACTCAATCTCAGCAAGACGTGCTCTCTGCCACCAAGGCACTCGGCATTGCTTCACAACAGATGATCCTTGCCAGCAAGGATGCTCAGCGTTTCCAGAAGGACTCAACCGCTTTCCGTTCACTTGGAAAGGCTGCTGAGGCTGTGGCCGAGGCTGTCGGACAGTACATCTCCAGTGTGTACTTTGCCATCAATGAGGCCGGCAAGGGCATCAAGGAGCTCGAGAAGACTCACGTGCTCATCACATCATACGTCGAGAAGCCCGACACTGTTATCACCAACCACAAGGCCAACGCCACATCCTACGTGGCCGCAGTTCGCGACGTGTCCAAGTCTGCCATCGAAGTGGTCACCTCGTACCAGGTCAGCCAGGACGAGTTGGTCAAGACCTCCAAGGCCCTGGCCACCAATGTCCAGACCATGATCGCCCAGACCAAGGGATCAGTGTTGCTGTTTGATCAAGGCGACAAGAACCCAGACGCAATCAAGTTGGCTGACAGCGTCAAGAGCGCCAACATTGCTATCCTCGAACTCATCCAGCAGGTCAAGAACCAGGAGAAGGAGGGAGTCAACACCAACGTACCAGACGCCTCACGTAAGGTGTCCGAGCAGCTGCACACTCTTGTTCAACTAAGCAAGTTGATTCCAGGAGGCAAGGACCTCGTGTTGGACGAGGACAAGCTACAGGAGGACCTCGAGTTGAGCACAGAGAACGAGTTGAAGGCATTGGCCAAGACCATCGAGGCTGCCACCGCCAACTTGTTGGCCGCCCGTCCAAAGACAGCCAAGAAATCACCTGGCATGCCACTCGACTCCAACGACGTCGCAGGCATCATTGTCGACGCTGGTGGATCAATCGCCGCCGCCGTGGCCAAGCTCGTCAGCAACGCTGCCGTCGCCCAATCTAGAAGAAGAGAGGCACAAAAGACATCGGGCCACTACAAGCACGACCCAACATGGTCCAACGGTCTCATCTCTGCGGCCAAGTCAGTTGGCACTGCCGTGCAGCTGATGATCAACGCATCGATGAAGGCTACTCAGGGCAAGGCACAAGAGGAGGAGCTCATTGCCACAGCTCGTGAGGTGGCCGCTTCCACCGCGCGTCTCGTCAGTGCATCGAGAGCCAAGAGTGGCGACGACCAGCAATCCCAGAATGCTCATCACCAACTCACACTGGCTGCCAAGGCTGTCACCCAGGCCATCTCCAAACTACTCGATGCTGCCAAGACTGCCACCGCTTTGCAAGAGGAAGAGGAGGAGCAAGAGAATGAAACATTCAACTTCACCGGTTCCAAGATCAAGGAGCTGGAGCAACAGATGAAGATCCTACGTCTCGAGAAGGAGTTGAACCAAGAGAGGAAGCGTCTCCTCAACACGAGAAAGAAGGAATATCAAACCAGTTCATAGTAATAATAAATAGTCCTTCATTCATTATCTGTTTCGCGAGAACACATTATTATGAAATGATGCCAGGTTGGCACATGCTTTATTGTGAGGTTCATCGAAGGTGAGCCGAACTTTCACTTTTTTGATCAAACAAACAACAATGAATCTTCTCTCTCAAGTGCACCCAGGATACTTCATTTGTAGGTAGGTCCATCAATACAACAAACAAAGAGATAATAGAATAGTATAGTATATATAGTATATATGATGACGAGATGGACGACTCTGTAGCTTTAATATTCAATAATGCTTTGCAAAAGATATTCAGTCAGAGTTCAAGGAAGAATATACAGCTGCGTGAAGCTTGTAAGATAGCTCAAGAGACAATAAGGGATTCTCCTTGTTTCTCAAATATATCACAACAACAACAGCAACAACAGCAGCATCAACATCAATCGGCATCAGCAACAACAACATCAACACCAGGTACAGCTACGCCTCCTGCAAAGATCAGGTATGTTATTTAAGTCATGTCATGTCATGTCACCATCTGATTTGGATGTGACCAATCAATCATACTGACGCCATGACGTCAACATCAACACTCTAGCGAAAAGGAATGGGACTTGCTTGGTAACAAGTTGGTCACGCCAATGAAGTTGGCATGTGAAACAAAGGAACCAAAGTTGATGGCTATTGCATTGGACTCTTTAGATGTAGATATCATTCATTCATACATTCGTTGATCACATGCTCACCATTCATTCAATCAATCAATCAACTTGTAGAAACTTATGGGATATGGTATCATCAAGCCAAACGCATACGATGAGGCACCTGTAGCACCAGGTGGAGAGAAGAAGAGATTGATCGAGAAGGTAGTCGACATTATTGGATCATACTTTGACTATCAAGAGGAGACAGTACAGTTACAGATCATCAAGGTATGCAAGTGCGACAGTACATCAACAACAACATCATGATGACTAACAATCAATCAAACCAAACAGTCTCTACTGACAGCTGTAATCACACCGACTTGTGATATACATGATACATGTCTTATGAATGCCATCAGATCATGCTACAACATCCACTTGGTCAGTCAGAACAAGATTAACTTCACAGCAGCAAAGAGCGCGTTGTTCCAAATGGTCGACTGCGTACTGCACAAGTTTGAGCACTTTAGCCAGCTCAAGATACAGCTCTCCAAGAGCAACACACCACCAGCCCAGCAACAGCAACAGCAGCAGGCACCACAACCAAGCCAAACCCCTGCCAACTCCAACGCGAACAATCACAGCTCTAGCGCCAATGATGAGAGGTATGCTACACGAAGAAGACACTGATTGATATCAATTTCAAACGTCTAACACAATCAATCAATCAATCAAGCGCGATCATACATCAATACAACGTCAACTTGTCAGATGTTATATTATTGTTTAGGGCCTTCTGCAAGTTGTCGACCAAGGAGGTACCTGATGGAAGCTCATCAGAGTCACATGAGGTCAAGAGCAAGATATTGTCTCTCGAGTTGCTGTCACGCATCCTGGAGAACCCGCTGCCCTCATTGAAGCTGTCAGAGAAGTTCATCAACACATCCATCAAGCGATACCTGTCCGTTTCGCTACTGACCAATGGCAGCAGCAACAACCTGCCCGAGTTCAAGCTGACGCTGGCTATGTTCCTCTCGCTGATGATCCACTTCAAGGAGCACCTCAAGGAGGAGATTGGCACGTTCTTCTCCAAGATCATCCTGGCCACGCTGGCCTCGAGCACTCAGAGCGTCAAGAAGAAGTGGCTGGTGCTGCCGGTGCTGTGCGAGATCTGCAAGAACCCACAGACCATTGTCGACATCTTTGTCAACTACGACTGCGACCCCGAGCGCAAGGACATCTTTGAGAAGATGGTATACGAGTTGTCGCGTGTAGCACAGGGCACGAGCAGCGTGGAGCGCACCTCATCGCAGGAGGAGGTCAAGTTCAAGATGCTGGGCCTCGAGTGCATCGTCACCATCATGAACTCGCTGGTCGATTGGAGCAAGGAGATCTATGAGAGCAAGCGCATCGAGCAGCAGACCAGAGCGGCTGCGCTCAACTTTGACGAAGCCTACGACGACGTCGGCTCGCCACTACAGACATCGACATCGCCGCTCAAGGCCAGCATGGACGAGTCGCAGCGTCAGTCTCTCCTGGAGCAGGCCACACAAAAGTTCAATGCACAGCCCAAGAAGGGCATCGAGTTCCTAATCCAATGTGGAATGATCAAAGAGAATCCAACAGAGATTGCAGAGTTGTTGAGGATGTCACCAGAGTTTGATCAAAAGTTGATCGGTACTTATTTATGTCAACAGTATGTATCACAACAAGTGGAAGTAAGTGATCACGTGATACTAACATCTTGGCCAACATAGGAACTCATTCAATGTCAGTGTACTGTATAAGTACATCGATTCATTCGACCTCAAGAAGATGGAGATTGATCAATCACTACAGTATGTACTCATTCAATCAATCAAACACTCAATCACTCACCTCCAATCAATCAATCAATCATAGGATGGTACTCGCATGTATTCAGTTGAATGGAGAGAACAAGGCAATTGATAGGATTGTTGAGAAGTTGGCAGAGAAGTACTTCTTTGACAACCCGGATGCATCATGTGCCAATGCAGAGTCTGTTTATTTGTTGGCCTACGCCATTATCATCTTGTCAACTGATCTACACAATGTATCAATCAAGTCCAAGATCACCAAGGAGGAGTGGCTAAAGATGAACTCCAAGTCCAACAACAAGGTCGACTTTGAAGACAAGTACTTGTTAGACATTTACGACCGTGTGTCCCAAGAGACCTACAGGCTTGGCTACACCAACTCTGACGGTAAGCTGAGCTCAGCTATCACTCTCATCCACACATCCTCACTCATTTAATCAATCAATCAATCAAACTACAGAGATAGGATCATTGGACTCACAAGAGATATTGCTCAGGTTCAACAAGGACAGTGATTACATTGTGAAACAATGTCAAGAGTTGATGAAGACGAGGATATCAAAGAAGACGACATTCTATCGTGCCAGGAATATTGAGCATGTGCGACCAATGTTCTTGCTGTCGTGGTGCTATGTACTGTCCACGCTGTCAGTCATCCTGGACGACACCAAGGACAGGAAGCTGATATCGCTCTGTCTGGACGGCTTTGCCTCGGCCATCAGGGTGAGCTGCATATTCTACATGAATGTGGAGCGATCATCCTTCATCACATCGCTGTCCAAGCTGTGTCTGCTCGACACGATCAAGGAGCCATCGCTCAAGCATATCGACTGCATCAAGCATCTGATCACCATTGCCAACAACGACGGCAACTATCTCCAGGACTCGTGGACACCCATCCTCAAGACCATCTGCATTCTTGAGCGTCTGCATCTGATCGACACGACCAAGTCCAACCCAGTGCCAAACGCAGCACTGGCCTCGGCCTTCCCCTCAGTCGTCGAGTACTCACAGAACTCCCTGCAGTACCACATCAAGAAGCTGCAGGAGGAGCATCCCAAGGCCATGACCTTTGACTCAAACCAAGTCGAGAGGATCTTCACCAACACTGTCTATCTCTCTGATGTAAGTACAACACCCGTCACTCATGCACGCATCACCTAACATTCATACTCACTTCACTCTCTCTATCAAACAAACAGGACTCGATCATCACGTTTGTCAAGTGTCTCTGCGAGATATCTGAGGAGGAGATCAATCATTACTCGAGGAACTACAGTTTGATCAAGCTGGTGGAGGTCATTGAGTACAATCTGAAGCGTAGGATACGTTTGGTGTTCTACAACATCTGGGAGATCGCTGTTAGCCACTTCACAAAGATAGGCTCGCATCAGAACATTGAGATATCAATGCACGCCATCGACTCGTTGCGCCAGCTGGCGTCCAAGTACATGGAGCGTGAGGAGATGTCCAACTTCAACTTCCAGAACGAGTTCCTGATGCCGTTCGAGACCATCATGCTCAACAACCAGGTGTTGCAGATCCGCGAGTTGATCATTCGCTGCGTGCTCCATCTCATCCTGTCCAAGGCGCACAACATCAAGTCGGGCTGGAAGACCATCCTCAGCGTCATCTCGATTGGCTCGCGTGTGCCCTCCGAGCCCATCGTCGTGCTGGCCTACCAGGCTGTCGAGCAGATCCTCCAGAGCAGCTTTGACTTTGTCGAGGAGAACTTCTTTGCCAACACAATCTACTGTCTCACATCATTCTCACATCCACTGGTCCACTACCCCGACATCTGCATCAAGTCATTGAACCAATTGGATCAACTCTCCCTCAAGATACTCGACCGACACAACAACCTCGTCAGCTCAAGCAGTGACGCCCTGCCCTACACCACCAAGCTGGAATCACAACTGATACCCATCATCAAGGGACTGTCCGTGCCCATCTCCCATGACAATGAGAGTGTCAGGCAACTGTAAGTAGTTAGTCCATGATCAATCATTCAATCAATCACTAACCACTCAATCAATCAATCACAACAATCAGGTCTTCAAGTCTGTTGTTCAAGTTACTCAATAAGATTGGATCAAACTTTAGCGTACAGTCATGGAGACATATTATCAACAATGTGTTGCTCCAGATGCTGGCACCAATCATGCCAACAAATCACAGTCCATTATTGTTATCCGATTTTGAACAGGCATGGGTACGCCAAACCTGTCCATCCGTGCTCACCGAGATCATCAATCTCTTTAGCAACCACCATGAAGTCCTATCTCAATTCTATCCAATCGTCATGGAGATGTTTGAGAGGCTAATATGTAACAGTAAGTTGGATGATAGGTTGTGTCCAGAGACATTGAACTAACATACCCTACACTACCCTTAGATAACCAATCAGTGTCAGTGCTTGGATGCGAGTACTATTGTAAATTTATACAACGATCAGGTGTTTGCTTCACCAATGAACACTGGACAGAGATATCAGACTCGATCGGACGCATACTCAAACACTTGTTGGTCAAGGATCCAAGTGCATCACTGGTCTTTATGTTTAGCACCGAGTCCTCATTACTGGGCAAGGAGCTGAAACAGCACGACACCAGTGTGAACACTTTGGTGCCCTCCACCAACAATGCCGGCTGGACCGTCAGTTTGTTGCTGATGCAGCGCATGACACCCGTGATGCTCGAGAACTACTCACATCTGTCCACACAGTTGTGTGCTCAACTGGTCAAGTACTGGTCGTTCGTCTATCACCTCACCAAGATGATGAGTGGCAACAACAACGCACAGCAACAGGCGCTGCATCCAGACAGCCAGCATACAGCAAACAACAACATGAACGAGACCACAGCACTCTCATGCCTGCTCACACTTCTCTTTGAGATGTTCCTCAATCAAGCCTATGCAGACCGACAGGCAGAGATTGAGGTGTACTTGAACAACCTGTGTGGTGACATCCTCAATGAAGTGGGCGGACCACATCACAGACAACCAAGCACCACGATGGTGGCCATAGTGCGCCAGATAGCCGATGGCTTCATCAAGTACAGCGATGAGCAGTTCAACAAACACATGCCCCAGGCCTATATACACCTTGTCGATCTGACCGTCCACGACAACCTTCACATCCGAACCTGCATCATGTCGGTCTTCTCCAGATTTGGCAAGGGCATCCCACAGATACCCGACATCCAGGAGCCGGCTCCCCTTCCCCTGGAGCCAGCCGTCGCCAATGTCAAGTCCAAGTCGATGGAGAACGACTCTATTCTCTTGGAGATGATTGAGAAGCAGAAACAACAGATCGAGCAACAACAGCAGCAACTAGTGGAGCAGCAGCAGCAACAGCTTGAGTCCCATAACAACCAGGAGGCAATCAATCCAGAGGTCCACAGTGATATCAATGGAACAATCGACGGCTCGGACAATATGGAAACATCACATCATAATGAGGCGAACGCTCAACACGTGGAGAACACTGCTGTGGTACAGGATGAGGAAGAGGAGGAGACTGTTGTTGAGAACGATGAAGTAGACGATCAAGTATTACCATCACAACCATCATCTGATCCACCCAAGCTTGACCTTGAGGACCAAACAACAACAGCTGTAGTTGTAGAGACCTCTGTGGACTTTATTGATATTGAGCAACATGACCAGGATGGTTTGGAAGATATTGTTAAACAATCACAGGCAACAACAACAACAACAATTACCGAGGATGCTGGTGATGATGATGATCTTGACCAGGTTATATAAACATACATACATAATGCCTTATGCATACTTATTATTATTATCCACTACTCGTTGCCCAGTCTCTGGAGATTCGCCAAAGAAAGTGCCAAGTAATAGAGAACTCTGATGGTTGAGTTAGAAAGTATGAGTTTTGTTACCTAGGGGGTGAAGATGTTAAAACTCTTGCTATCTGAGTTGGCAAGATTGTCACCTCCAAACTCAAGTTTCGAGAACTACCCCATCTCTACCAATTTACTTAAAGTTATATCAAAACCTTTTTCTTAAGTTAGTTTGAAACTTGATCTAACAAGTTAAGTTGTGTCACCCATTTGATTTGCAGTAGCCTACTTATTAGTAAACTGGAATCATTCTATCTTTCATTTATTCAATTTAAGCTAAACCTAGATTGAGATAGAGAGAGGGATAATCATGGACAACCAAACGTAAGTGTTAAAATTAACATTATAAGCTTAACTTACTTTATTAATATTTAAAATTTTTATAGTTCCAGTTTTGAATTTGAAATGCTTCTTGTAGGAGGAAGTAATGTAGGAAAGGTAAAGTATATAAAGTAGTGTATTATTTTCCTTTATTAATAATAATTTTTATTTTAGACAACAATTATTGAACTTGCCAAGACAAATGAATTCAAGAAAAAGATTGAGATCACTATGGCTATTAAGTCACATAAGATTGATCTACCTCCTTTGTTAGATCCCGATGATCCTAAAACCAAAGTGACAGTAAATGATACTCCGGGTGATGTAAACTTCATGCAATGGACCTTGAAAGCTTTGGAAAAGATCAAGGCAGTAGATGCAATAGCCATATGTTTTGATATTACAGATATTAAATCATTTGAACTATGTAGTCATTGGCACAGGGCTCTGATGGAGAAGGAACACACTGGTACTTGTGTCTTTGTACTAGTTGGTACAAAGGGTGACTTGGCACATAAAAGGATGGTTTCAGAACAAGAAGCTAGAGATCTAGCAAAACAGTTTGGTATCTTTTACTACGAGACAAGTGCATTGGACAAGAAGGGATTCGATACTCTCTATAGATCAATTTCAGAAAATGTTCAAACAAGGTAATATTAGGAATGAATTGATTGATAGATAGATTTAATAACCAATATTAACTTGTCAATTAATTATAGAAGTACTTTGATTAGAAAGTTCCAACATTTCCAAAAAGCTAAGGTTGTAGATGAGATGGTAAAGGTGAAACCTATTAAGATTCAAAAGAATAAGCGCAGATGCTGTCAAATGATTTTCCATATCTTCTAGTATTGAAAATTGATACAAAAACAATAATGTAATATTACCATTATCTTTTTAATAATAAATTAAATTAACAAATGTTAATCCTGATGAACTAACTCATTGTCTCAGTCCCTACACCCACCATCTGAAACACATACATAAACACTCACAAACCCAAATCGATCACTGATCGACCAAAGTTCACACACAAGCTGTGAGCAAAGGTATGAACAATCATATGATCAATACAATGACAACAACAATAAGTGTGGTTACACTTAATGTATAATTATAATTTAATTAATAATACGACGTCGTCTGTTGTAGTAACCATTGTGATTAAAATGATTAGTATGAGTGTGTATGAAAGTATGTATAACCTATCTTATTGAACATATGACACTATTATTAATAGTTCCAAATGGTGAATTTACACTCAAACCTTATTAAGCATATCGCCTGTTAATCAATTAATTATTAACAATGGATCAATCAAATAACAATGGATATAAGACTCTCACTTGGACATCATTGCACTTGTCCTTCCATTACCCATCAATCAATTAATCAATCAATACATACAATCATACTACGTTCAAAATATTTATTTATTTAAATGGATAACTATCAATTACTTTATAAGTTTATTAATATTATTATTATTATATTAACAATATTGGTATGCTACACATCTGCCGACAAATGTGAGCTACCTACTCCAATTCCACTCAATGGAACATGTGATTCAACGTAAGTATACCCAATATCCATTGTGTCTGGACCTTGGAAATACTAATCATTTCAATTAATATTATTATTAATCCAAGATATGATTGTGGATACCCATTTGTATGTTTGAATAGCAAGTGTTCTCAGAGTCCAGAGCAACTGATATCTTGTGCCACAGACGATGATTGTGCCAGTCAAGATACAACAATGACTTGTGTACAAGGAAAATGTAAATTGTTGTCAACCAATGGTGAGCATTGTAGTAATTCAAGTGATTGTGCTCCAATTACAGATGGCAACAGTACTTGTTCATCAGATATGTTATGTGTCGCTGATAAATGTCGTAGTGATGATGATTGTGGACTTGGATATCATTGTAACCGTGATAAGAAGTGTGTCAAGTCCACTTCATCTCCAGGATGTACTCGAGATGCTATGTGTCCATTTGACATGGCATGCAGTCGTAGCAAATGTGTCAAGAAGTTCTCTGGCTCCATCGGAGCACCATGTCAGAGTTATGAACAATGCAATCTATTCGATGGTGTTGCTGTAAGTACTACCTTATCGACTCATACATGCATTGATTGATTAACTAACGAACAATCATAGTGTGACAAGATGGCAGGCATTTGCAAGAAGGATCAGTATAGTGGTCATGACTGCTACATGAGTTCAGAGTGTGGCACAGGCGAATGTAGATGCAATGGAGAGTCAAAGAAGTGTGTGTCCTACGGTAGTGCACTTCCAATCCCAGCATGTCGCGACCTGTTTTATGTATGTACCCTATCCTACCAAAACCTACCCTTTGGTCAGTTCACTAACAATCCAATTAATCAATCACTATCAAACCTAGAATGTGTCACAATGTATCATTAATAATGGATGTACAAGGATGTTGAATGGCACTTGTCCACAATGCTACATGCCTTGGATGTGTTATAGATATACATGTTATGCAGCTCAGGCTTGGAACCCTTTGAAGAGTGCATTGGCATCGATGTGTGGAGAGTTGGTTGAAGGAGGAACCACAGCACATTTTGATCTATCTGGTCTGAATGATGGTGAAGTGCCCGTTGGACATGTTGGTGCCGGTCCATCATTCGTTGACAATACCAACTACAACTACACTGCTGATGAACAGAGTCTTAACCTCAACTCCAACTCCAACTCTTACTTCAATTCGTCGTCTAATGCACCCATAAGTCTACACAGAGTGTACTCTAACTCTTATTCATTGGCACTTATTTGGTTAATGTTAATAACTATTCTCATTATAATGTAAACTATAAACTATTATCAAATATATATATTTAACTTTGCAAAAGAGTATTCTGTTGTACAATGTACCGAATACCCGGGCGGTTGCGCTCGGGTGATTTTTCGGGTGTAATGATCTTCATTCGAATTTGATTGTCGTTTTTGCATGATGCAATTGATGGGCTGGCCATCATGATTGTCTGTTTTGACTTGTGGTAAAAGGACGAAGGTCCCAAGTGTGGTTGGTGGTAGTTGATGGCCCACCTCGTCAATTGATAATTGTATCAGATTCATCTTAACAACCATGATAATGGGCGAGAGTATGGGCTAATACTCTATCCATCTGTCTCTCTTTAAATGTGTGTTTGTATGAATGAGTCACTGACCCTTTGGTGATTGAAGATGTAAAGGGAACGAATGCTCCACCAACGAATCGTAAAGATACTGAAAAGAATTAGTATTAATCAACGTTGGGAAAGAGCCATACCATCTTCCAATTGTAAGTAAACTTAATAATCACTCTACTCATTCTCTTGAAGTTGGCATAGTTGTTGTCTATTATTATTTAGATAGTTATAACATTTATACATATATTTAAATAATGGTTGCTGCTGGAAAATTATACTCTTGGGCAGAGTTGGCCAAGCATAACACTGAGGAAGACTGTTGGGTCGCAATCGATGGCAAAGTATATGATATCACAAAGTATGTATATTCATACTCACCCCAGATATTACAACCTCCATCACAACTTACTTACTAACTTACGATGTTATTATTATTAGATGGCTCCCAATACATCCAGGTGGCAAGAATATACTGTTGTTGTCAGCAGGTCGTGATGTGACCAACTTGTTTGAAAGTTACCATTTGGTCTCTGATAAGCCACAGGCTTTGTTGGAGAAATACCAAGTGGGAGTTGTGTCGACATTGGAGCATCCAAAGTATGTGGTCAAGAGCAAGTTCTACGCCACTCTCAAGGAGCGAGTCCGTGCACACTTTAAGAACACAGCACAGGACCCACAGTCATCTGTGGCCACTCTCACTCGTGTGGCACTGGTCATTCTCTTCCAAATTGCCATGTACTATGTGTCAGTGTTCACCACTACCAACTTCCTCGTGTGTTGCGTCCTTGCTCTCCTTCATGGCTTTGCTGAGACCATGTTGGCCATGCATCTGATGCACGACGCCTGTCACGCTGCACTCTCACACAACCCAACAGTGTGGAAGTGGTTGGGATACCTGTTCGATATGATGTCAGGTGCCTCGTTCTACGCATGGAACCATCAACACGTCGTAGGCCATCATCTGTACACTAACGTCCGTGGATCCGACCCAGATGTTGGAGAGGCCGAGTTTGACTTCCGTATTGTCACACCATACACTCCACGTCTATGGTTCCACAAGTACCAACACATCTATGCACCAATCCTCTATGGTCTCTACGCCTTCAAGACTCGTGTCTGGGACTTTGATGCCTTTGTCAGAAAGTTCAACGGACCAATCCGTGTCAACGACCCACAATCAGGTGATCTAAGCTTCTACCTGTTGGGCAAGTTGTTCTTTGTCGTCTTCCGCGTCGTTCTGCCATTGGCCTACCACGACTTTACCAAGGCTGCAATCTATTTTGTCCTGTCCGAGCTGGTCTTTGGATACTGGCTTACCTTCACCTTCCAGGTGTCACACATTGCTGGCAATCTTACATTCTACGGCACACCAGGCAAGCCAGAGGAGCCATCAGAGTTTGATGAGGACTGGGCCGTCTCCCAGATGAAGACCACTCAAGACTACGCACATGGTTGCGTGTTGACCAACTTCCTCACTGGAGGTCTTAACCACCAGGTCGTTCACCATCTATTCCCATCGATTGCGCAAGACTACTATCCACAACTGGTGCCAATCGTCAAGGATGTCTGCAAGCAATTCAACATCACATATCATATCCGCGACAACTTCAAGGATGCATTCCAATCACACATTGACCATCTCTACCACATGGGCAATGATCCAGCCTTTGTACAGCTTCCATTGTCAAACAAAAACACAAAGAAGAGCAACTAAATAAAGGTTATATTATTATTATTATTATTATTTGTATGTATGTGTGTATGTATATGTAAGTATGTATGTTATTAAGAATAAATGAGTGAGTGTGAGTACCTTTGTACATGATAGGTGGTGATGGATGGACATTCACTACCCCCCCATATGGTAAGTTGTAGATGCGAATGTGTCTTGAAATGGTAATAGGGTTGTGTCTGTTCTGTTGTCCCACCACACTTATTCCTCTAGAGATACAAACACATACACACACTTATGTTCTTTGATTCCTTAATATATATCCTTATCCTTTCAGATGACCATCAGTCAATGTAGATGTGTGTTATGTGTTATTCATTCATGCTCACAGATACAGCTCATCGATGTTAACCAGTGATGATGTCGATGTCGATGCATTGATTGATTGTGATTGATTGATTGAATGAATGAATGATGTTGTTGATGATGTCGTGTTGGTGTGGACAACTAAAATACATCATGTGTCCTCTCGCTCCATCGATGGATCATGCAATGCTCAATTAGCAGTCCAGCGTCCAGTCCAGTCCAGCTATCCAGCCAGCCAGCCAAGCCAGCCAGCCACACCAATCCACATCACGATCCAAAGACATCCAACACATCTTCAATCAACATTACAATCAATCATACTTTATAGCTATCTATCTATTTATCTATCTATCTTCCTTAATTGCTAGTTAGAGGAAAAGATAAAAGATGACACAATCCCAATCAATGGACCCTGCAGCGGAGGTACAAATCGAGGTGCTCTATATAGTACTGGTGTTTGCTGATATTACATCGATCTTGGGTGCACTCACTGTGCTTATCTCATTCTGGCGTCTAAAGTTGCTGAGAAATCATGTCACTCGCATCATCTCCTACTTCTGCATCACCTCATTCATCAAGGATTCAATTGGACTGATACTCACATTGACCGGAGCCTCAAGTTTCAATTCATTCTCCTGTATCCTCTACTCAATCGTCATTACTTATGGCAGTCTAAGTTGCTGGCTTTGGACTCTTTGTCTTGGTAAGTAGTAGTTCTCCACACTGTTGATGTGCACGATGATACTGACTCACTGACATCCAATGAATGCCAATCAGCCATTAGCATCTATTTGTTGATTGTAAAGAGATACCAGGAAGCCGAGAAGTTGGAGAAGTACTACTTCTTTGTGTGCTGGGGCATTCCAATTGCTCCAACAGTTGTGATGTTGGCCAAAGACACGGTGGAGTACTTGGGAAGTTGGTGCTGGATTGGCGATGACTATTCAAACTACAGATTCGGCCTGTTCTACATACCATTCTTTGTTATCTTTGCCCTGTCCGCCATCCTCGTCGGTCTTACAATGCGCTACACCTACCAAGTCATCCACCAGGGTGTCTCTGAGAACAAGGACAAGCATGGCACCTACCAATTCAAGCTAGTCAACTATATTATAGTATTCCTTATCTGTTGGATATTCGCCGTTGTCAACAGAATACTCAACTCTCTTGGCCACTACCCGTACGCCATCAATCTGCTGCACACCTACTTTAGTGTATCTCATGGATTCTACGCCAGCTGTGTGTTTGTGTACAACAATCCTCTGCTGTGGCGCTATATTGCCGCCAGGGTGTTGGGCATGTTTGCGCTGTGTGGATGCTGTGTCGAGCGATTCAAACGTCTGGACAGGAACAAGAACAACAACAACCAGTCACCCTACAGCTCGAGTCGTGGTGCCAACAACAAGAACAACATCGACATGGAAGATAACCCCAACTACGAAGAGGATGTCATTGAGGAGGCAGCCGCCGACCCAACGGGAGCAGACACCATCCCGCACAGCGGTGGTGGCCATCACCCATCCGCTGGAGGTGAGGCATAAATGGACGACAGGTCGCATCATCATGGGCTGGGTTGCGGTACAGATGCATTGAGAAGCATTAGTGGCACCAGGCCAATGTAATAAACTTGTAGCATTAATCAATCAGATTCGTCGCCCCAGTCGTGATTGACTGTCAATCAAACATTTAGTGGGCCACACAAACTCACATTCTATGATTGGCAAATTGAAAGAGTTGTTCAGTAATCTTCACAAAGAGAAATCCCATCAACTAGTACAACAACAACGACTACAACTACAACTACAACTACGAGTACTACATTACATACACCGATACAAATCATAAATGCATTGTCAGTCAATGCATCAAGCCAAACACTTAAATAGTTAGTAGTGTAGTAATATTAATACAATCAATTTGTTTATTATACTTATTATTACAATATTATTGGAACTGGAAGGTTCAAGATATATCTCTAAGTAAGCACGACTTTGTGAGGAAGAAGGAAAAGAATGCCAAGCTAAAGGAGTAGACCAAAAATACGATGAGACTGATGCTAAATTGCTCACTTCAATACTCTAGATATGACAACTAATCCCATCAACAACACTACACATGATAAAGTAGACGCCATCCATTGTCTTTGAACTGCTTGGTGTGGAGTTTGATCGAGAACTATCCGTCCAATCAGATGGCGTATCCCTTTGTAACTTTACCAAGATCTCTGCCACTTGGGCCGTTGTTGGCGGTCGTGGTAGTATGAACCTGCCTCCTTCAGAGCCCAGCCTGATCCATTTAATGATGGTACCCCTGCACCTGATCCATAGTACCTGGTTGATAACCGCCATATCGCTGGTAAGGTGCTGAGGAAGGGATAGTCTTTCGGCTTGATCATTGTCTTTTGTATTGATATCTTGAACATAACCAAGTAGTTTCTCGACTTTATAGCGTCTATTACTACCCTGTCCAAGAATTTCAATGTAATACAAATAATTAGACATGAACCAATATGATTGGTATGGAATCAGTTGTATTCCATGCTGATACTACTAATAATACACCACCTCTACTGTAAATAGATAATCCACCATTTAATTTATCGCTAGCAGGCAATATAGATTTGACATTGGGTTCCTCTACCTAATTGCTCAAGGTGTAAATCAATTCAAGGGTAAATATTATTTGTCTCCATTTTGTACTACACTTCCTCCTCTAGGTCGGACAGCCACAACATCTCGGGTACTCTGGCGTTGGCAATGGCACTTCCCCTCACTCTCCAGCAACCGCAAATCCAAGATGTTGTGACTGTCCACATAGGGCCCCCAAACCCTGGAGCAACTAATCGATGTCCTGTCCATTCCAACCATTTAGGTGAACTTTATGAGATAGTAGGCCTTCTTGCCCGATCGCAGATGAACAAAGTCGTTGCATATTAAATCGCCTGGCTCGATGACCTGGTCAAATGTCTTGACAGGCTCGCCATTAATGTATATCGATTGATTCTTGAGAAGGAGTTTGGCTTGGTTCTTTGACATGCCAGACACTTGAACAAACAGATTGAGCACTGTTGTTTGCTTGTCCCCACCGCCGACGTGCATTGATCGAGGCATCTTGATTGCGTTGACACCATTCAACAGTCGACCAATCTCCTTTGTCTCACTTTCTGATCCACCAGTCATAAGCTTGTCGCCAAACAACAGACTGGTCGTGTTGATGGCCTCGTCCAGACCCTTCCTGCCATGTACCAACTCTGTGACACACTCGGCAAGCTTCCTCTGTCCCAGTCTGAGATGTGGCTCAGCAGCGTGTTGCTTGACCACAGCAGCGATCTCCTCCAAAGAGAGGAAGGTGAAGTACTTGAGCAGCTTATCAACATCCTCGTCGGCAATCTGGATAAAGTATTGGTAGAAGTTGTAGGGACTGGTCCTCTGAGGCGACAGCCAAATGGAGTTGCCCTCACTCTTGCCCAACTTCTTGCCCTGGCTGTTGGTCAGCAATGGGATGGTGATGCCATATGCCTGCTTGTTGAGCTTCTTCTTGATGAGATCGCAGCCATCAGTGATGTTGCCCCACTGATCCGAGCCTCCAATCTGGATGACGCATCCATGTGTCTTGTGAAGATGAACATAGTCATTGGCTTGGAACAGTGAGTAACAGAACTCTGGCAGACTGATGCCCGTGCCACTGCTCTCATCATCGTTCAACACCAGATGCTTCTTGCCGTCCTGCTCAATCATAGTACCGACACGATTGTTTACAAAGTCCTTCCTCAGCATCGATCCGACCCTAAAGTACCTCGCGGTATCCCTAAAGAAATCAATGATTGACAAGTTCTTGCTCCAATCAATGTTGTTGACAATGGTCGCGTCATTACCAAGTATCGCTGCAATGTTCTCGCTTGATGTGGTAGTATGTGTCAGTCTTGTGGTCGACCTTCCTAGCAAGGTCATTCAATCACCAACAAACATACCGTATATGTGATGTGTTGTCGACGACGAATGATGTGTCGAGTTGTGGACGCTCAGTGGACTTACCACTGGGGTCACCTATTAGGCCTGTGGCACCACCGAGCAGTGCTACAGGCTTGTGTCCACTGCGTTGAAAGTGTAACAAAGCCATCAACATCAACAAGTTACCAATGTGTAGACTGTCTGCTGTTGGATCAAAGCCTGCATACAACGCTATTGGTTGACTTGTGAGCTTTATCAACTCCTCCTCATTTCCTGTCATCTGGTATACAAAGCCTCTCGACTTTAATGTTGTTATAACATTGTTGACATTGTTGACATTGTTGTTGTTGTTGGGCAAGGTCGCGGTGGATGTGGCGGTCGTGTAGCTGCGACACACTCTTGAGCCTGTGACTACGCTTTGATGTTGATGTAATGTAGTCGATGCATGTCTAATGAGATTGATACATCTACTATCTAATGTTTGTTTAACTATCCTATACATTGTTGTTGTTTGAATCGATGAATGAGACACAGACACAATGTTCGTGGACAAGACGAGTTCACCAAAGTCAAAGCGCGAGGTCCACCTTTTTCATTATTGAGGGAAGATCATTCATTAGCCAAGAGACACCAACACACTCATACAGATACAGATTCTTACACATACATACATACATAACATACACATACATTGATTACATGCATGACGAACCTATTTGACTCGATACCATTGTTACTTGTAGGACGTGTGTTTGACTGTGTACGCGATGATCATGCTGTAGACGCAGTCAGTTTCGGTCTGAGTTGCAAACGATTGTTTGGAGTGATGAGCAAGAGAATGCCTCAATTGCACTTCAAGCGTGATACTCAACTGCTGCGAAATGCAACTAGTATCGCAAGTTGCAAGAGTACGGTCGACCTGCCGCCAACCCTCACCGATCTCACCTTTGACGACAAGTTCAATCAACCGATTGCAATGGGTGCACTTCCAAACTCGTTGACAGAGCTACGTTTTGGCCAAGACTTTTCTAGGATACTCCTGCCCGGCACTCTTCCACCAGCCATCACCAGCCTTGGCTTTGGAGTATACTATCACCAGCAGATCCCCGTAAACACTCTGCCTGCGTCCTTGCTCACACTCACACTGGACAGCTACTATTACCCATGTCCAATACTACCTGGAGCACTGCCATCGTCACTCACCACGCTGATATTCAACTCAACCAGTCCCCACGGCATTGTCACGCCCTTCATTGTTGAGGGATCACTGCCCTCATCACTGCGGACACTCGCTCTACCATATTGGTACAATCAACCGCTGACCAAAGGTATACTTCCGTCGTCACTAACGACGCTTACAATCGGTGGATGTTATAATCAAGACTTGCCACCAGGAGTTCTGCCTGCATCCCTCGAGACGCTGTCATGGGGCACTCCAATCGAGAAGATGAACCAATTCAATCGGCCACTCGTACCTGGATCCCTTCCAGCTGGGCTGCGTAGTCTAACGTTCAGCTGTCGATTCAATCAAGAAATCCATCCAGAGACCCTACCCTCTTCGCTCACATCTTTGACATTTGGAGTGCTCTTCAATCAACAACTGAAGCCCGGCATACTTCCACTTTCACTCAAGAAGTTAACATTTGATAAGCAATCACAATATAGTCAACAATTTATGGTTGGTTCATTGCCAAACAGTCTAGTCGAGATTAACTTTGGCAATAGGTTCACCAAATATCAACTCACGGTTGGCACATTGCCAACATCCCTCACGTCGTTATCATTTGGTGAATACAACTTTCCACTCGAAGATGGACTGTTGCCAAACTCACTGCTCACATTGACAATTGGAGAGACGTTCAACTGGATCATCAGTCAAGGAAATCTACCAAATTCATTACAATCGCTCACGATGAACTACACAATGCCTCTCTCGCCAGGCACGCTTCCAAGGTCACTCACTCTTCTGGACGTTGGCAACGGCTATAATTTTGAAATTCTTCCTGGGATGCTACCTGACACACTTACTGACCTAAGCCTTGGCTTTCGGTTCTCTTTCATCTTGTCCGCCAATGTCTTACCGTCATCACTCAAGAGGTTAAAAATTGGCTATTACTACAATCATCCAGTCTCGTCAACTGTACTCCCAAGCAGTGTCACTCATCTTGTGTTGCCCGATAGTCAAAGACTAATATACATCACACCGTCAGTACAGTCGGTGGAGATTGAGCAAACCCTCACCATGGACCTCCGATTATCATTGTGCACAGCTCATCTTAAGTCCTTGTGTGTCTACCTCAAGCCTCAGATATTCAACGCCGAAGTGATGCACTATCAATATATTAAGTATGTCGCGTCACTGTTGGAGTCATTCCCCAACGTATCCAACTTCGAGGCTAGGATACCATATAATGTCTCTGGAATTACAGGTCAACACAACGTTCATCTGCGCTACATCAACGAAACACAAGCCATCTGTGTTGTCAGTCGTCCAAAGGTTCTTACAGCAGTTGCCAAGTACACGCTTATTATCTATGACAAGAATAGCAAAGTCAATGCTCCTCCTGTGGAGAAGCCAACCTCTACAGTGCAGATGTACCGAACTATCGGAGCTGATCGACCGCCTGGATTCCAACTATATGTGCCAACAAATAGTAGCAGTTCATGATGAGCAACAACAATATCAATCAATATTATAAAATGCGACCTCCTCCTCCTTGAGCGAGGGCATCGACTTCTTCCATCACAATCCATCTATTCTTGTTTCCACTGGTATGGGGAATGATTACAGCTGTATTGATTGAGTTTGATCGCCTTGCTTGGTCAACTACAACGCTGACTTCTCGTAAAAGGCCAGCATCCTCCACATCTTCAACACAAAGCTCTCGGCCTCCTCATCTATCATTTCATGAAGCTGCGTGATGAGTGCGTTGGACTCGACGCGCGCCTTGAGCTGGGTGGTGATGTGATCGACCAATGCCACCTCCTCGACACCAATGATATCTGTCAACTTCTTGGCAATCCATGGCTTCATTTTGTTGTCCACGATGTTCAGTCGCTCTATTGTGTCCCAGCCCATCTTCAAGCTTAACAAAGCCTCCTTGTCGGCTGGAATAGAGTCGATGATCTTCTGCACCTCCTCCTTGGACTTGGGCTTGGGTGTGTTCGAAGCAGCGGCCGCCGCCAATGCTTTGGTATCCTGTACATGTTTGTTGAAGGCAATGGCTTGTTGTTGTTGTTGTAATTGTTGTTGTTGCATTTGTAACTGCTGTTGTTGTTGATATTGTAGATGTTGTTGATATATAGTTGGTGGTTGTTGTTGCTGTGTTTCTTGGGGCTCTTCGATGTTGACGATCTCATTGTAGTCTAACAGAATGAACTCCTTCTTCTTGGCTGCGAGCTCGGGCTCCTCAGCCTGGGTGTTGAAGCCACTGGCGACGTTGAGACGAGCGGCACGCTTGGCCGAGAAGTCAATCTGAATCTTGTTGATGGTCTCTGCCGTCAGTCCGCTTCCACTGCCACCAGCGACACCAGCGCCATTCGATGCCACCATCTTCATACGAGCGGCTTCGACGTCACGCTCGCGATCACGTAGATCCTCTTCTCGCTCCTTCTGTCGTCGCTTGATCTCCTGATGCGACTTTAGACGCTTCTTCATTCGCTCATCGTCACTGTTGTACTCCTCCATCTCTTGACGTCTGATGTTGAGCTCATTGCGCTCACGCTCAAGCTCACGCTCCTTCTCGCGATCTCTTTCCCTCTCGTACTTTGCCTCGCGGGCTTCCCAATCCCTCTCCTTATCCTTGAACTCTCGTTCATATCTTTCCTTTCGTCTTTGGTCCCTGTCTCTCTCGCGTTCAATCTCTCTTTCCTTCTCTTTTGCGGCCATTCTAATCTTCTCCTCCTTTGTCATCAGTCGCAGATCGAATGTCTTTGGTTCATTGTTCTAGATGTAGCGCGAATGAAGAGTCAGTAATTCATCAATCAAGTCTTGATTCATTGATTGATTGAGTACATACCACTGGCTCGACAGGCTTGTTCTCTCGTTGCCTCCTCCTCTCATCAATCTCTGGCTGAATCGATTCGATCAACTGCTGTATAGTCTCCTTGACACGATCATCCTCTTGTGTCTCACTCAGCTTTGCCTCCTCTGATTGTTCGGTACCATTCTCAGAGACAATACCCTTGGCCGTCGCGGCCTCATGCTGTTCCTGATTCCTTTGTTCAACATAATCATTCAACAACTTCTGTACCTTATCATCTGCCTTGACCTAGGTATGTATGAATGTATGAGTATGACTTGCGCTCTGAGTCTAAGGATGTATGCTTACAAGTATGTTCTTGTCATCAAGTTGAAGATTGTTCAGTAGTCTCAATGCTCGCAAGACTCCCTCGGGAGAGTCATACTCGCAGAAGCCAAAGCCTTTCAGCTTGCCACTTGTGTCTGATGCTCTGTTCCATTTGACGACCTTGCCACAAAGACCAATCAGCTTCCTGATGAAGCCATCATCTAGAGTCTCTGGTATCTTGCCAACGTATATTGACATGAGTTGCGAGTTGTGTATCTCTCTGGTGGGCGCGGGCAGCGGCAGCAGGGGCGCACGACCACCCTCACGTCCACTGTCACGTCCAACATCACGTTCACTCGAAATGACTCCTTGTCTGTCGGGATGCATCATCATGCCGCCTGGGTGCATACCAGGAGGCGGTGGCATCGGAGGGAAGTGTCCCGGTGGGAACATTCCGGGAGGAGGATGATGATGCATCATTGGTGGGCCTCCCTGGTACTTTCCAAACATTGGCGGTGGATAGAAGGGTGGTCCGCCGCCAGGAGGTCCATGACCAGGTGGGCCATGGCCTGGAGGTCCGTGACCAGGTGGGCCTTGATGGTATGGAGGCTGATACGGGTTCATGAATGTCTATCTGTCTGTCTGACTGACTACTGTCTGTAGATATATCTATGAATGTATATGTATCAGTTGTCTGTGATGCAATCAATGAATGATTCAAAGTTTGAATGAGTGTGTGAACAAAGTGCGACGAATGAATGAACTTGTGACTTTTCAAAAGATGGACGCGAGGTGTTTGATCAGATTGATCCAGCTCAATCCATGGACATACAATGGTATTTATTGATAAGCATGATGTTCGTTCCCATCCAATATCTATATCAACAACAATCAATCAATCAATCATTGATTTTGTTGCTGCTGCTGTTGTCCTGGGAATGCCAGCTCGAGCACTTTGGGATGTACTTGTTGTATCTGTTGCTGGAATAGTGCACCATGTACTTTGGATGATTCGTTCAGTTTGTCAATAAAGTAGGCAGCCTCGTCTAGTTTGTAGAGTGGATCTTGGGACTGAACCTTTTTGACCATGTTATCAACAAAACTGTTCTCGGGCAAATGGAAGCCGTCCTCAGAGAACAACAACTCTTGGAAGTCGTCTGGGTTGATGTCTGCACGCAGACCCGCCGTCGTAATCACCAGCTGTGCGATGAACTCGACCACCTGGCTGTTGGGCATGGCCAGCATGTTGGACATGGCGATCGATGTTAGCTTCCTGACCTCGGAGCTGCCGATCGAGTCGATCTTGTCGAACCAGCTCTCCATGTATGAGCGGAACACCTGTTGTGGATGCGGCAGCTTCTCGATAAACTCAAAGAAGGCAGCAGGATTCATCGTGATGAGACGAGTGAACACCGCCTGGTACTGCACGATCGAGAGCTCCGACTCGTCGTTGGAGTGTATCAGTTGAAGCAGCTTGACAAACACGGGCTGAAGCAGGACGGCACCGTCCACGGGGTACATCTGAATGATGAGGTCGATTGGACGTATGATGTAGTTGGTGCCGCTGTCCTTGATGTCGCCGAGCAGTGCCGCCAGCACGCCCACCACATCATTGCCGTAGGCCAAAAAGAACTCCTGGCCGCCAACGAGTATATATGCTTCCAGGATCTTCATGCACACTTGGCTGTGCTCAAAGGTATGTTGCATCACGCCAATGATGTTGCGGAAGAGCAGTAGCAGTGGCCTGGGGAAGGCGTTGATGCGGCCGATCAGGTTGAACCAGAGCTCGAGGCCGTCCTCCAGGAGGTAGATTGACTCCTCGGTGTTGGGCATTGTTGCTTGCTCGATCACTGGGAGTAAGAATGTGAAGTATTCCGAAGGGTCACCATTCATCGCCTGCAAGAACAGTGTCAAATTACGCACGATAGCGCTCTTCAAATGATGTGGAGCTTCTCCATTGTTCCACATGCTCGATATCAACTTGATGATATTTCCAGCAAATGGTGTAATCTGGAATTGATTGATTGATGAGTGATTAGTGATTGAGTGAGTGATTGGAATAGTTCCAGTGATCATCCAGATGTACATACATTCTCATTGATCTTGATGAATATTGATCCAAGTACTTCCAGTAGTTTACACTTGATGTCCACATTCTCCACGCGCTGGAAGTTGTTCATGATTGATAACAGTGTCCTGTCAATATAAGGTGAGAACTCCTCGATAGTGCATACATAGTCGTCAACGTCTATGTTGTGATTGATTGATTGATTGATTAGTCCAGCGCCACACCATCGCGATCAACAACAACAAACCAAACTTACAAGCCTTGAGTGAGTCCCATGCTGTGAGTGAGATGACTAGATCATCGATGCTGGTCAATTCTAGGATTATCTGGACGATGGCCATTCGCATGTTCTCTGGTATCTTTGGTATCCAATAGCTGATCAGCCAGCATATACGTCGTCTGATGATGTTGTATCGCTTGTCCTGCATCTGCAACTCCACCATGAATACGTTGGAGAACAGAGTGTCAAAGTTGACATTGTCGTACAGGTCATAGTAGCCCAGTCCAATGGTCATGTAGCAGGCCTCCTTGAGTAGCAGCTGCTGAGTGGTCTGTGGCTGGCCGGGCGCCATCGCGCCACTGGTGACGTAGAGCAACATCTCGTGCACAGTCTTGACGCCAACCTCGTGGAAGTGTCTCATCAGCAGGATGAACAAAGAGTACGCGACCGGCTTGATCTCGTAGGCGTTGGACTCTGCGCCATTGTCAATGTCAAGAATGAACTCCTCAGGGTCGTCAGTCCACTGCAACAGCTCCTCCTCAGTCAGTATCAGATAGTTGGACACCAATGCCTTGAGCAGCTCAGACAATAGTGTGGCCGAGAAGAACTGATGGACGTACTGCTGCGCCCTGTGGGTGGGAGTGATGACGTCGGGCAGTGTCTGTGCGGCCAGCTTGGAGATGGGCTCTGACTCGTCGTCATCCTCAAACATCATCTCTGTCTGATAGCTGTGACAATCGACCACTGACTTTAGGAATGTGAGTGATTGGACCAACGACTTCTTGAAGAAAGACCTCTTTGCATTGTCGTCCATGGCATGCGGGTTGTACCGCAGTATCTGCTGATTGAAGTAGTTCAAAGATGATGGAAGGAACTCAATGAATGACAATGGATGTTGAAGCTGTGCCTGAGTGATCGTCTGTGTGTGAGGTTGGATAATGTTAGTTTATGGGACGGAATGATTCCAAGCCTTGATTGATTGAATGATCATAGTGCATACCTTTTGAGAGACAAGTATGTATTGATCGAGAAGGCCAGGGAATGAGTTGTCTGATATGCTGATGTTGTTTGAGTCTGGTGTTTGTGATACTGTTGATGAGGTTGATGATGCGGAGGCGGAGGCGAGGAGTGTCGACCTCAGTGAATGTAGACGCGACAGTGTGTTGAAGAGGTAGTTGAAGTGCTTGGTGATCTCAGAGCTCTCTTGATACTCTGTATGTCCATATTGAATGATTCGTCGCATGATCTTGGCCGCCATCAACAACTGCTCAAGTGAGCTGAGATGTTGCTGTAGCGTAGCCTCGATGTTGGTGTCATTGCCAGGCTGTGCCTGTGCTTGTGTCAGTGCATGTTCGAGCACCTGAGCCAGTAGATTGGTGCCATTCTCAATGTACGGACTGAAGAACTTGAACAGCTGATTGGAGATGGCGTAGAGTGCTTGGCGCTCGGGCAAGAAGCATCGCGAGGCCAACTCGTTCAATATATGTTTGATCGTAATCATCGCACTCTTCTTGTTATCATCGTTGCCCTGCTCCAATAGTGTAAACATCGATTGAAACAATGTTGGCCATTCAGTTGGATAATCAATACGTGCCACATGTGATATAATGATTGATAAATGAATGGATATCTTTCCACTCTGACCAAGATGATTGAACTTTGTCAACAATGTCAACAACATCTCTCGATATAGTTGTTTATCCTGTGTTGATATTATACTACTACACTCATTCATTCATTAGTATCATTGATTGATTGAGCGAGGGGATGTACACATACGCCTTCTTTCGCCATACTGATGTGATGTTATTCTTTAGGATGATTGTTGCTACGTATTGTACAAGTTGTGGAACGGTTTGATCGTTGAGCAACTGCATTAGGGCACCTGTGAACTGTGACACTTCACTTAACTTCTTGATCTGTGTCTCTGCATTCCTCAACACATCTACATTAGGTGACAGTACATTGCAAAGCAATGTATACAACTGTTCCCTATTGATATCCATTATATATAATAACTATTAATATACTATGATATGTTGTAGAGTTGTAGTTGTCTAAGTTTATTTGAATGATTAGTCGACCTCACATTCTTCGTTTGATTGAGTGATTTTTGATCAAAATAAAAGCCCGGGCCTATTTCAAAAGCTGTAAATGGCAATGAACCAGGTGATCCATGTCATTGTGATGTGAGACATACAAAAGCGAAAGAAAAAAAAGAGTCTCGTTTTGCTTTTGAACGAGTCCACTAACTGCACTACCAACCACACTCACACACACGATACTCATACTTCAATTCAATTACACTCTCATTCCCTACAGTTATAACCGTCACAACAACATATATATAATATACACATAATATAAAATGAACAGAATCTTCGTTGCTCGTCTCCCATGGTCTGTCTGCAAGAGTATGTCAGATCAACAACATCGAATGTCTGGCTGGCGCAACAACAGTCAACAACATCGTCATCATCATTGGACAGGTGAATGAATGACATTCAGGCCATTCATTCATTCAATCATTCAGTTTGAATCGCATGCATTGCAATCATGTTCTCGAGTTGAATGAATGGTGAAGATGTTGATGTTGTTGGATGACCAGGCCAGCCAGCCGCGACAGACACTCATGTGATCAATCACAGTATCGACAAAGTACTAACTCAATCAATCAAACAATCAAACAAACATAGTCACTTTGAGAAACCACTTCTCCAAGTTCGGCCCAGTTCAGGATGGTTACATCGTCTTGGACCGTATTACTAGAAGATCAAAGGGTTACGGATTCGTCACCTTTGCCAACAACGAGTCTGCTCAGAACGCCGTTGCCGCCACACACGAGATCGAGGGAAGACAGCTGGTCGTCTCCATCGCCGTTGGTATGTATCATCAATCCTACTACATAGCGTCATCAATCAGACACTAACAAACCAATCAATCAATCAATCAATCAAACATTAACAGACAAGAGACAAGGAGAGCAAGCTCCCTCCACTCAGGACAACGTTGATGCTTAAATGACGAATAAAAGTACGACAACATATATTCTTTAATCAAACAAGCATTATTCCCAAGGATCAATGGGATTCAATCATTCATTCGCGAACGATGGCTTCATTCAGTCTCATCCACTTCTGGTCAGGGAGTCAGTCCCTTTCACACAAAGAGAGTTGAATGATTCATTGAGTTACTGTACATGACATGGCCTGAGGTAGGTTGAATGACCATCCTTCAACCTTTGCCATTGATATATTATTATAGCCACTACTGGCTAGCAGCCAACAATGCTACAGCTTCTGGAATGGGTTGCCACTTGGTGGCAAGTCAGCATCTTTCTCCACCTTGCCTGTTATGACCTATGTTGGAAGAGGTCAGTAAGAGTGATTAAAGTAGCATAACGAGTCTGAGATCTTGACATACTCCTTCTTGTATCTTCATTAGACAATCTCGTCCGACCATCAACATCTGTATCAGTGTTTCAGGATTCGTCTCATACTTTGAGTTCTCATAGTCTCTTCTTACACTCTCTCTTAGCACTACCTTCCTGTTGTTATCGTGTGTAAGTAGGTTGCTCTGTTGTGTCCTCTGATGAGAATGATTGATTTGAATGACATTACCATGGTATACCCTGTTCGTTTGGGTGATTGAATGTTCGAAGTGTCCTCATTATATCACGATACAGCCTGACCGCCTCCCTACTACCTGTTGCGACCATCCTTGTATCTATATGTGTATATGTTTGTAAACGAATGTGCTCAGAAGTGAAAGACACTTTACATCTTTCGTTTCATTCTTCAATCCCATAATCAAACATCAAAGTTGTGTAACAAAGACAAGACGAAGAGATAAGATACAAGTTCAATCAATCAAGATAAGATGAGCGAACAACAACAACAACAGCAACAAAGAAAGGAGTCATCCTTAAGGACACACATCAATGGTGTATCACTGGATGATCAGAGATTCAGAGGAATAGATCCTGTTTTAAGAGATAGAGTACATGATGAGCTGATGTATACAGGTACAAAGTCATCATGGGAACATATAGTTGGATTGGATCAAGTTAAGCAACATCTAAAGGAGATCATAACATTGCCTATTCTAATACCAAGTCTCAAAAGTCCATCTGATCCCAAGTGCGTCTTATTGTTTGGACCACCTGGCACTGGCAGGAACATGATAGTACAAGCACTTGCCAACGATATCAAAGCCACTATATTCAACATATCAAGGAAGACCCTGGAGTCAGGTGATTGGGTATGTTGTACTTGGAGATGGAGACAAAGATAGACATGTCCTCACTCACTCAATCTCAATCATACATTCATTCAATCAGGGATGCAATGGATCGACACTGATACGCGCAGTGTTTGAGGTCGCCAGCTGCTATTCACCGGTGATTGTTCATGTTGATGATTTGGAGATGATCATGTCGAGTGGATTGAATAATGAGGAGATGAGACGTAATAAGACAGAGCTAATGGTACAATTGGATTCATTGAAGGATAGAAATGAACAACAGGATGATTGGATGTTGGTCATTGGTACAACCAATCGTCCACAAGACGTGTGTTCATCATCACTCAAGAGATTTGTCCAGAAGCTATATGTCCCGCTACCAGAATCAGAAGATCGTTATAAACTATTCCAACGACTATTGCCAGAGGATCACGAACTCGACGAGAATGATGCCGAGGAATTGGTCAAGATTACCGAGGGATACTCATGCACCGAGTTGGATAGCCTTTGCGTCGAGGCATTGATGCTACCGACTCCCAACACAGGTGTTACCATGGAGCACTTCAAACAGGCATTGATCAGAGTGAGGCCATGTGTCAACGCAGCCCAACTTAAGTCATACGAGGCCCTGGATCAACAGTATAATAATTACTTTTAATATTAATAGAATAGTGTATATGTGTGCTCCATGGATTCCATTCATTTATAATTACATTACAACTTCCATCTGGAAGTTGACACTTACACGAAACTCAACGATCACTCACACACTCACCATTCCATTCCATTCACACTTCCAACAACACCCACTGTTGTTGGTGGTTGATGTTGTTGCCGATCAACTCATCAGTCAGTGATTGAGTGAGTGAGGGTGTGGGGGCGAAGTTGGAAACAAACACACTACCGTTGTTAGAGGTAAGAAGGGCGAGTCCTTGAACAAGGATGAAATGAACCAAAGCCTAGCCTTGGCTTATAACTGGCCCCAATCACACACATAGTGTGCGCCAATTCGTACACTCTCCGCTTCCTACCTTGGATGCCAACTGCACCTGTCATGGGCACATCCATCACCTTGTTTTGTGATTGGTTGAGGTTGTATTTGTTATATTAGTTCACAATCTTTAAATTCTAAATCAACATCAACAATGAAGGAAACTATTTATAATAATAATAATACAAAGATACCCTATAATATAATATTACTTGGCAGTGGAGGTGTAGGGTATGTATATCTCATTTCATCATTTATTCAAACTCATACTCAAACTCAAACATTAGGAAATCTGCATTAGCCAATCAATTTGTAAAGGATGTATTCATAGAGGAATATGATCCAACTACTGAGGATAGATATAGCAAGTCTTGTATAGTCAATGGGAAGCATTATGATATTAATATAACTGACCCTTGTGGAGAGAATTACTACTGCTTGTCAAAGTCATACATGGAGGAAGGTGATGCATTTGTTCTGATATACTCAATCACCGAGAGATATACATTCGACTTGATACCATCTATTGTGGACTCTTTAAGAAGGATCAAAGGACAGGACAACCTACCCATTGTGTTGGTTGGAAACAAGATTGATCTGGTGGTGCACCGAGCCGTGGACCATCAAGAAGGTGAACAATTGGCACAAAATATTGGATGTCCATTCCTTGAGACTACGTCCAAGCACAAGGTGAACGTTGACGAGGTGTTCTATCTATTGCTCAATGAGATAGAGATGGTCAAGGAGATGGCCAACCTGTCTACTCGCAAGTCGTCTCGTCGCCCATCACTGACACAACATTTGGAGACTTTGAAATGTCTGCTGAGTAGACCTTTCACAAGCAACAGGAAGAGGAAGTTGGAAAAGAAGAACAACAGGTCGAGTCAAGAGATGAGCATGGACTCCAGGTCAATGAGTGGGCAACCAGAAGTAGTGGTCGGCTCTCTAAGAAGAGGTGACTCCACTATCAAGCTGTCAAAGAAGAAGAGACCAGCAATGACCCATTCCAAGTCATTATTCAATGTATTGATGTGCGGCGGTAATCATGTACCTGAATAAAGACGTTGACTGGATGGATGGTTGGATGTATATATTATAGTACTATCCTATTTATTATTGGCATAGTCAATGGCCTGTCTCCATCACTCTAATAGGTCAACTTGCCATTCAAAAGAAGGTTCATTGGTTGGTCTCTAATGGCATCGATAAACAATGTGTCCAGGAATGCCATGTGCAGGCCAGGATTGTGTTGGAAGTACTTGTTCAAGTCACTCGAGTATACTTTGTATATTACACTCTGTTATAATATTAAGTAATGGTTGTTAGTATTCAATCATTCATTCAATCAATCAACTAACATACATTCTTCTGGGCGATCACTGTTGTCCTGTGGACAAGAGGAGGTTCGTTGGTCATTGCATTGACATCACCAAGGAATGAGCCATTTGTGAAGCTCTCCAGTGAGTCCTGCTCCTTGAATATGAATGAACCATCGGCAACCAAACATCCATACTCTGCCGTATCTCCCTGCTTCCACAGACATTCATTCTCATTGATCTGGTCCCTGTGTAGGATTGATTGAAGCGCCGTCTTCTGTGAGTTTGTACATCTGCTGAGTACACTGTTGAGGTTGATGGTCTCCCATGACTTCTCATTCCTCATCTCCCAGAGTTTGGTTACAAAGTTGATTGATTCTGTGCTGTTCCTTGTTATCGATAGGAAGTCCTGATGATTAGGTGAAGGAGATGGGATGTCAGCACATTTCTAATGTTACAACATGTGATCACTAACACATACCTCCTTGCTAAACACTAATACTCCAACATCTGTTACTGCTGATACTTTGGCCGACCGTCTACCTCCCATGATCAGTGACATTTCTCCAAAGTAATCGCCAGCGATAAGGTTCTTCTCGAGGTCGCCAACGGATACCTTGACAATGCCAGAAGCCACGACAAAGAATGCATCGGGCTCAGAGTCCTGTGCAATGATAACGCTGCCCTGTGGATAGGTCTTGCGCGTGGCCGTTCGAAGAATCTCTGCCGCCTGTGACAGAGGGATCGAGCGGAAGATGTCCACCGATTCCATAAGCTTGAGAATGTCGACGGCCTCTGAGTGCATGTGCTTCTCGACGTCGAGCCGCAGCGTGTGACGGACGCCCTCGTGCGCAATCTTCAGACCACTGTCGGCGGGAAGTGATTGCTCGGAAATGTGGACGAGATAGAGTCGAGTCTTTATCTCGCATGGAAGTGATGCCAGCACTGTTACCGGCGTGTGAATTGGCGGGACACCCGCCTCGTGCAATACTATCGTATGGTTCCAGGGCTTCAAGAAGAAGTTCATCCTCGTCGAGTTCATTATATTCTTACAGTTCATCTCCTTGATTCTTGTTGGATCGAAGCATGTATCGCCAGAGTAGTATCTTTATAAAGTATGGCAAATGATTAGTATGATTGGTTGGTGGTGCATGCGTGTGGATCATGATCTGATGTACGTACATGCTCTTGCCTCCAAAGAATACTTCAAAGGAGATGGTTGGTATCGTATGGATGGTGTAGAAAAACTTTAGTTCCGCTCCCTATGATTGATTGATTGATTGTCAGTAATTGATTGATTGAATGAATGATTAACTGGATAGTTACCGCTATATTCATGGGCTCTCCAATGATTACTGGTCTAAATATGAAGAGTCGTCGCAGCATGTCTTGACTGAGATTGGACAACGCGCTATACTTCCTGAGGAATGAGTTGAGGATGGTTGGTGTGGTAACAACCGTTATCTGATACTCCTCCAACAGCTTTTGAAACGTTCCCGAGTCATGATCGGCATGGCAATGTGTCAGAATGATATAGTCCACGCGTCTAGTTGGCACTCCCTGACTCTGCAAGAAGCTACTCGAGTGCAATGGAGGATCGACCATAACTATAGTGTTGTTGGCGGGGGTGGAGGAGGGAGTGTGTCAGTTGGATGGACGAACGAAAGAATGATTGAATACATACTGCCTCTCTTGTTGACCCAAAGGACAAAGCCTGTTGTTGACTTCTTGGGATCGAATCCATGTGATGAACCAATGATGGTGATTCCGAATGTGGGCGGCTCGAATACATCGTTGCTCGCAGAGATTGAGTGGATGGGATCGGGGAATGCGATCTTGGACGGCAGACAAGACACTATTTCATCCTGCTCGCCATCATTGCGCGCCTTGTTGACCACCTGAAACGTGCCCTCCTCCATCTTGTAGTGCACCTCAACTTGCTGCGGCAGACGCGCGACGCCGGCCTCGTCAAACAGGGCAAAGTCAAACAGCTCGTCGACGCTCTGGAACGTCCTGAGATACTTGCACTCGCGCTCAATGTCGGGTATCTCCTCCTTGGGATAGGTGCTGTGGAACTCCTGCAAGAAGTCGTGGTTCAGATGATGGTCCTTGTTCTGGTTGAAGTCGACGGGACCGAGTAGCGTCTCCTGGAAGACGATGCGAATGCGCTTCTCCTGCTCGGGCGTGCACACAAACAGCACCTTGCGCTTGAGTATGAAGAAGTTGAAGTAGGCGGGGAACTCGGCCTCGGCGGCGTTGATGCCCGTGCGGCGGTCCCACAAGTCCTCTGGGAACACGTAGATCGTGGGCACGTCCAACTTCATTGCCATTGAATCCTTGATGGTCTCTGGTGGCACGCCAAACTGTATATTTCCAAGGCGACTCTTCACTATATAACCGCCGCGCGGCAGACTAATATAGCTGCCGATCGGCGTCGAGTATCTATTTGAGCTTCGTTTAAACATTGATTCGAGCGAGATTAATCTTATCTCCTGCTCCTCCTTTCTTTTTGTTGTTGTTGTTGTTATTATTGTTGTTATTGTTGATATTGTAGTTTGTTTAGATATGTATATCTATTACTATATACTGTCCAGTCCTGTCCTGTCTTGTTATGTCCTGTCCTGTTCTGTCGTTTGATTGAGTTGTATTCACGTCGTCTTTTTGATATTAAATATCTTCAAGATCACATGTGTGTCTGTTATATAATATATATGTTATTATGATTAATGAAGATTATGTGAATGAGTGAATGAATGAAATGAATGTGGTCTCTTGTGCACAAGAAGGGCTTGTTTCGAGACTCAAGCATGCGGTCCCACATGTCACCTGAATCAAGCTCAAGATCTACAAATTTGAATTTTTTTCGATTCGAGTCTAGTTGTTTTGTGTTGTTTGGGAGGTCTTTGAAACATGAACTCAATTAATAAATTATTGGGCTAACAGATAAAAAGATGAATACTAAGTAGTTGTTGTTAACGACAAAGAAAATATAACTAAGAGTAGTTTAGTTTATTATTAAAGTTATGTACAATTGAAGAAGTTGGAACTATTATGGCTCGATTGTGTGTAAAGATAAATATATTTAAATATACAAATAATAATAAATAAATAAATACAGTTGTTGATTGATTGATTGAATATTAGGTGAGATATAAAATAAAGTGTACAAATATTAGATATTAATATCATCAGTTCGGATAATATATGTAAGATGTCGTCCAGTCCTTTGTAGGAATTAATGTGTTTGCCAATTATGGTCTTAGGTCTTTTCCAAAGGTCTGATGATGGAGGTATTGTTGGTCTCTGGATATTTGATTGATTGAGTTAGTGAGTGAGTGGATGATCTATGATTGTGGACATGGGATGATGAACTTACCTGCTTTGATACGTCTGAGGAATTGGATGATAATGGACTCTTCATCAATATTTTGTTGTTGATCAAAGTGATGGATGACGGCTTTGACGAGTTCACGACGACTTGGTTGATTGGATACTTTGAGTCTATGTACAGCATTATACTTCCTCAGTGATTTTAACTCTAGTTGACGTAGATTAACTGATTGATTGTTGTTGTATGGTGAAGTTGATGATGTTGAGGAGATTGATGAGGATGAGGGTAGTGGATAGAAGTGCTCTTCATTGTGATCGTAGGGTGATGGCTCGACCGTGTGTGCAAGGTATGATGGTGGTACATGTTGATCGACGTTGTATAAATTGTTGATGTTGAGCAATGACTCAATGGTGTTGTGGGCGGCCGATGTACTGTGTGCATGTGGACTGGCAAACTGAGGTGGCGTGGCATGGCAGTCGGAAGATGGATGCATTGACATTGTACTCGACATTAACAATGATGATGGCGAAGATGTTGGTGAAGGAGTGGACTTGGCACTGTTGGGCGGGGATACCATGGACATATGTGGGTGTGAGTGCGCGGCAGCGGATGCCATCTTTTTCTTCTTCAAGTTGGCAGCCTTCTTCTCTGAATGTGTCTTGGACAAGTGTTTCTCGTAGGCCTCAAAGTCAAAGTTGGTGTCGTCGTCCATCTTGAGGAAGTTGAGTCTCTCAAATGGATACAAATACTTGAGATAATGTATCCTGAGACGGAAGCCGGCATCAGTGCGCTCTGGGTCGACTTCAAGGTCAGTGGTTATCTGGCGCCATAACTTGTTCTCGATGACAGACTCTAGGCCACCTCTGGAAATGACACACGAGTAGAGACGGTATAAGTTGAGCTCCTTGTGGTCAAAGATCGGTATCTTCTCGATCGGTGTGCCTCGGTTATTCATAAATGTGAACAAGGTCAACATGAACTTCTTCTCCTCTTGTTCATCATAATGATGATGTTGTTGGTGGATATGTTGAGACATTGTTGGAGGTGATGAGGCACGATGATGAGGGGGCGAGGAATTGTGGATATTGTGATTATAATGGTGTTGGTGATTGTGAAGACTGTGGGTTGGGGCCAAATGATGTTGATTGTGATGTTGAATATGATTGGACATGGCCATCATATGTGAGGCATGTACTGGACTTGATATTGGACTACTACTACCTTGTTGATGATGATACATATTTAAATTAATATTAAATAAATAATAAATAATAATAATAATATTATTAATAATAATAATTAATAATAATATATTAATTAAATACAAGAGCTAATTAATATTAGTGAGAGGCTCTCTGCCGATTATAATATTATGATTGAGGATCCTGGTTTGAGTTTGAGTTGAGGAAGTACCTGTGGCCTGTTCTGTTTGGAAGTTGATTGATTGAAGTTGTAATTAACAACAGGTAGTTGGGTTGTTTGTGAAATGACTAGTTGGGAACTGGAGGTGCTGATCTTGTTGCTGTTGCTGTTGTTGTTGTTGTTGTTGTTGATGTTGTTTGTTGGTTGATGATGTTGATGGAGTGAGTGTGGTGAGTGATCAAGGTGCAATGCAGTGAGGGATGGACTACCCTGCTGTTATGGTTGTTGTTTGAATTGATTGATTGTTTAAACACAGAAGAACAACAACATCAATCTTAAGTTGTAGGAGTGAGGCTACTACTACAATCTAGGTAGGGTACTATTAAGGAGGTTGAGTTTGGATGGATGGAAAGGAGGGGGATTGAAGAAATGGGAAATGGAATGCCAAGCAAGATGATAAGGTGCAACATCATTCATTCAATCATTCATTCAATAATAATTCATTAATATTCTATCTTCCGGCACATGCCAGGCCATCACTCCACGGGTGCTCAAGGAAGGGTAGTATAGGTCTGATCGATCGCAACAGAGCAACAATAACAACAACAACAATGCAACACCAAGTGGTGCAGCCAATCTGGTCGGGCTACACGAGGGGTGTGATGGTCACCAAGGGTACCCGTATGCGCCATATTAATTATAGATGGCCACCACTATCCATTGGATAAACGTGGTTGGGCAGCGCTGCAGGAGCGATCTATCAAGGCGCGTGGGGGGTGGGTGAGTGGAGGATAGGTGATCAGCTGCCACTACCCCGCCAACACAATAATTCATTCATTCATTCACACACTCGAGAGTCAACTTATAAGATATATAAATAGGAGGTGATTGATTGATAAAGTGTGTGTTTGGACGGTGTGCTTTGATCTCCAAGAGGTGTGTGTGTTGTGTGTTGGATGGTCGACAGAGCCCCCATGGTATCCCCTACTTACATCCTACTTCTAATGAATAGATTGGCCCATGGGGACCTGTGTTCTTAGGAAACGCCACTGCAATCAGCTGATTGATTGAATAATAGACTGACTGACTGAATGAATGAATTAATGTATAGCGGGTGGTGTCCTAAACAGCGAGTACCATTGATAATAGTGAGGTGTCACTGTGAATGGAGCGACTGTGTAAGTGTGAAGGTGTGAAGAGAGATTATCATGTTCAAGTTAAGGTGAGATTGATTGATTGATTGATGGTCATATGACTATGGGGTTGGTGGGTGGGTGTGATCAAGTTCCAATTATCAAGAGAGAGTCGGTTGGAGTTTGAACACAACTCACACACTCACTATCATATTATTTGTTGTGTTGTACTTACACAATGATACATGTATATTCATACAGATGGTGAATGATAAATGGAATGGTGTCGACACATCACATTGATGGTAGAGGCATGACGAGTTGACGTCATGAGACGTACTTACTGCTGTCAGTCCATGCATTATGACCTCACATACATTACGATGTGCCGATCTATGGTCACAGCACAACACGTTCACTCGCACACTATGCTAGCGAGGCGTAACTCTGAGGTGGTTCCAGATGAGTTATCATGATTGAGCTTCCATGGTGTTCGATTGATTGATCGCGATGTGAGTGTGTTTATGTGTTCCAACAAACTGAACTTCTTCCATCCTTGCATCCATCTATCCAGGCTGATTGGATTGTCATATGACATGTACTTAAAAGGGGTATTATAATTATAAAATGGAGTTATTATTAATGTTCTTAGTGTACAACAATGTTTAGAGGTCTTCATCCTCTGCCTTGATCGCATTGTAGGTGTCCTCATCGATTTCGTCTACCTGGATGTCATCGTCATCAGTCTGATTCTGCATTTCCTTCTCGAGCTCAGCCAACTCCTTCTCATCGATCTCGATTTCCTCATCGTCGTCCTCAGTGTCCTCTCCAATCACAACCTTCTCAGTTGTGGCGACCTTGGTAGATTGCTCTCCAACAACCTTCTCTTCTTCAACATCGATTGTTGGAGTTGCTGTTGGAGTTGGAGTTGGGGTTGGGGTTGGGGTTGGGGTTGGTGTGGCTGTGGCTGGCTTCTCAGGGACAGCAGCTGGTGTTGATGAATTCTGTTCTTCTCTCTCCATCATTGCGAGCTCAGCCTCGATCTCTTTGTTGAGTTCTTCGTCGTCAATGTCGATATCATCATCGTCATCATCGTCATCGTCTGTTGCATTGTTTGATGATAGTGGTGCAGCGGGCTTGGTGACTGCCTTGGCAGGGCTTGGAGTTGGAATGACTTCATCTACTTCCACCTCTGCCTCTTCCTCTGCCTCCTCCTCCACCTCTTCTTCCTCTTCCTGTTGCTCTCTAGATTGAATGAACTCAATCGTGGTCTTCTTGATCACACCCTTGAAAGTGGCCAGAATGTCCTCAGTGGGATAGGTCTCATCCTCTTCGAGCTCCTCTGTAATTCCAACATAGACTTGTTGCATCAGCATCTTGATCTCGGTGGTGATGTCTGGTAGGCTGCCTGCTGTTTGCTCTTCTCTTGCTGCAACTGCTCAGTGACTTTGTTCAGCTCCTTCATGGTCGACTGTAACTTGGCGGTGATCTCTGCGGTGTCCTTGCCGCCAGCGGCTGGTGCGGCATTGTTCATGCCCTCGTTGAATCCCTTCTCATAGGCCTCCTGAGTCTTGGCACGCTCTGACTGGAGTTGCTTGACAACATCCTCTCCATTGCTCTTGAGCTTCTCCAACTCGGACTGTGCATCGGCCAATGACTTGCGGTCGTTGGCAAGGTCCGCTTCCAAAGCGGTGATGACTTGGTCCTTCTTGACGAGCATCAGACTGAACTTGGACTCGACCTCCTGCTTGGTGCTCTCGATCAGGCTGTTGGTGCCGGTTGACGAACGCTCAGTCTCCAGGGCGTCCTTTGCGGCGGTGACCTCGACGGTGAGCGTAGCAACCTTCTCCTCGTGACGCTTCTTCTGTCGCAGCATATCGATCTTGAGCTTCTTGACCTGCTCCTCGAAATTCTTCTCGATCTGTTGCACGGACTCTTGTGAGTCCTTCAACTCGTCCTCCAACAATGTGATGCGGTCGACATCTGTCTTGCGCGAGTTCTTCTCGTTGAGCAACAGCTTGTTGAGTGCGCGGATCTTGGCTGTGAGCTCCTTCTCGACGGTCCTCGACGACTCTTGATCGGTGGAGCTCTTTAAGATGTCGTCCTTGGTGCTCTGCAGGTCCTCCTTGAGCACAGCGTTCTCACGCTTCAGTGTGTTGATCTGGCTGAGAGCCCTGTTGAGATGGATCTCCTTCTCGGCCATCTCATCTTCGATGATCGACTTCTCCTTCTGCAGCTGCACGACTTGCTTCCTCGTGTTGGATACATTGTCGCTGAACGCCTCATTCCTGTTCTCAATCATCCTGGTGTTCTCCTCGAGGAACTGCTCGTTCTTCTTGTGCAGAGCGGCGATGGTCTCCTTGTAAGAGGTCAGCTTGGTCTCCTTCTCGACGTTGTCCTTGACCAGACGGTCGTTGTCCTCGACAATCTTGTTCAGCGTCTGAACAAGAAGCATGCCCGAGATGGGCACATCACCATGCACGATCGGATGCTTGAGCGTGTCGAACTTGGAGTTGACCTCACTCAGCTGCTGCTTGAACTCGGCCAGGCTGCTCTTGATCTCCTTCTTCAGCTTGTTCTCCTTGGCCAGTATCTGGAAGGTCTCAGCCGAAGAAGTTGGCATCTGAGGAGTTGGCAACACTGGTGCTGGAGCGGGTGCGGGAGTGGGAGCAGGGGCTGGAGCTGGAGCGGGCGCTGGGGCGGGGGCTGCAGCAGGAGTGGGCTGCAAGATGATCTGTGGCGAGCCGGTCGCGCTTGGCTGAACCATTGGAACAATGGCGCCCTGGTGTGTGACAAGTGCACCAGAGTAGATGCCTGTTGCGCTGCCATACGGCTGTGTCTGGCCAAACTGTTGGGTGCCATAAGGTGAGTTGAAACCTTGTGCGCCATACTGTTGGCCCTGCTGTCCAAACTGACCCTGTTGTGATCCATAAGGCGAGTTCGATCCATATCCACCCTGGTTGTTGCTGTTGTATCCCTGTCCATAGTTATTGCCACCTTGTTGATTGTTATAGCCATAACTGTTGCTGTTATTGTTATTGTTGTTGCCATAACCATTGTTGTTGTTGCTGTTGTTGCCTCCATTGTAGTTATTGCTGCTGTGGTTGCTATTGTTATTGTTGTTGCCACTACCATAGTTGTTGCTGTTGCTGCCACTGTTGTTGCTATTACTGCCACTGTTGCTGCTGTTGTTACTGTTATTGTCTGGCTCAACCTCTGAGAGTTTGGCAACACGCTGGATATGATTGATCAGTGTACCCTTGTCATTGGACTGTGGTGTGGGCATGCTATCAAACAATGCGTTTGGTAGATTCTGTTGTGGCACTTGTTGTGGTGCCTGTTGTACAGGTAGCTCGCTACCGGGTGCCGCGGCAGCCTCACCCACACCTGCCTGCTTCTTGAAGCCGATAAGATCGAGCTCAAATACCAGGTTGGAGTTGGGGGCGATCGAGCCGTTGCCAGTCTTGCCATAGGCCATGTCGGACGGGATGACGAGGATGCGCTTGACACCCTTTTTCATGCCGACGACACCAGTCTCCCAGCCCCTGATTACCTTGCCCTCGCCAATGACGAATCGCAGAGTGCTGTCCGAGTTCATGTTTGTGTCAAACATGGCGCCTAGATGCTGATTGTTGTCCAACCAGCCAGTGTACTTGATGGTGACGCGGTCGCCTGCTTGGACGCCCTTGACTCCGGCGGGAGCAGTCGCCAGCTCCACGTCAACGACCGACTGGTAGTTGCCAGCGGCACACTTGGCAATGGCGACGTGAGTGGCAAACTTGACGGCCTCCTCCTTGGTGCCAAAGTTCATCGACCATGCCTGGCCCTGATCAGTGAAGTTGGCATAAGTCTCATTGACCGTGTAGACAAAGACCGGTGTGATAGTCGTAGTCACCATAGCCGTCCTATTCTTATCATACACCATCAAATGGAACTTGCCATTTGGTCTATATGTAATGATCGCCGCTGAGAAGCTTCCAACTGTAGTGTATTTATCCTGCTCACTGTTATCGTTTTCGTGTCAATCATTCAATCAATCAATCAATCAAGTTGATCAATCCAACTCAATCACAAACAAAACTTACAACTTATATAAATGTACTGCTGAGCCTATGATCAGTTCTTGTGTCTTTTGTGTAGAGGCTGATGTGGATGCCGTTGCAGAGCTCTGCAGCTTTGTGCTGTTGTACTGTAATGATTGATTGCCCTGCATATTGCTACTCTCACTAAACAACGATCCTAGTTTCTTTGAACTAGATGTTGTCTTGTTGCTATAAGAATCATCATCATCAAGGAATGACATGTTTTATATTATATATATATATAAAGTAAAGTATGTAAGTGATACAGATAGTAAAGTTGAATGATTGAATGATTGAATGAAAGAGTAAGTGCGCGAGATACTTATGTGCGTGAGTGTGATTCAAGTAGAGTGAGATCCCCAACACAAATTTGATATTTCCTCAATTCGCGCGATCAAGCCCAAGACAGAGCATTCGTCTGACTTTTACTACTTGTTTCAATAATTATTACTATGGAATAAGTCAAACCTTGTACATGTATGTTCATATTTATATATGTTTGTAATAATAATAATAAATGTATTTATCCAGTGTCATTCACTTTCACCTCCCTATTAATTAAAGCATGAATATGTTAGATGTGATTATTTATAATACTACCTAACTATCACCTCACTTCGTACAAGGTCAAGGTAGGTAGTTGGATTTATTGCATGATGTTGTTGTTGGATGTTGGTTGTTTGTTGGTTGTTGTTGGTCGGACAAAGAGAGAGTATGGAGATGGAAGGAAGGGTCAAACGCCTAGACAGCAGAAATGTGCACGTGATTGATTGATTGATTGATTGAATGATTGGTGATTAGAACTTATATAAATATATATACTGTGGAAGTCATTGACGGATCCGACAGACAGACGGAAAGGGTGCAGATGGTGGATGTTCGTATATGTTATGTTATGTTGTGTTTTGTTATGTGCAAGTGATGATGAGGGTGGATGGACATATGTCTATTACGTCCAGTGTCATGATCCTGAGAGTGATGGATAGAGATTGGGAGAGTTACGATATATCTGTGTTAGACTTGAATGTTAATGAAGGTCAGGTCGCGCGCGATGGGGAGAGGGGCAGGTGGGATTGATTGATTGGTTGGTTGGTAGTGAGGCGTGACGTGGCGGTGTGACATGTGATAAGGTAAGTGGAGTGGCTGATGGAGGACAAGTGAGTGGCACTGGCCTCCATTTCAATATTATGGTGATCAGGAACCTTGAGTAATGGAAATGATAAAGGATAGAGGGTTATTATTGCTGGGTCATGTCATCGAATGAGTGGAGGGAGTGAAGTGATGTGATGTGACGTGATGTCATGTGATTGTGATGAGTGAGTGGAAGTGTGAAGACAGACAGACAGACGACAGACAGGACGATGCATGCATCATGATCGAATATCTACCTTTTGTTGTTGTTCGTTCGCAAAGAGATGGATGGATGGATGGTTGATGAGGAGGTGTGTGAAGCGATGAATGAATGAGAGAGAGGATTGCAATGTTGTTGTCGGAGAACGAGTTGTTTAATGTTATTGAGTTGGGTTGTGTCACATACCATCATCATCTTGAATTGTTATTGTTGTTGTAGTATTGATTTGATTGGATTGATAGGATTGATTGATTGAATGATTGGTTGTTGGAATGAGGTGTGTTGCAGTGGAGAGGGGAGCAATGAGTTAGTGACTATGATCAACTATGTCGAGCGACACATGCATGCAGTGCATTCATCATTCAAATAAATACCATCAGAGACAATCCAGAAACTACTAATCTTGAATTTGGCCAACTTGGCTGTGATCTTTATACTGTATTGATATGAATGGATGATGGATAGGTATATGTTAGCGTATGAATGAGTGAATGAATGAGGTGAACAGCAGTACACATACCTGTTGGGTAGTTGTGATGAGAATGATGATTGAGTGCATGGCTTGGACATTGTGGATGATAATAGGGGCGTTGATGCAGACGACGATGACGATGCTTGATTCAGCATCGATGTCACTGATATATTTATGGATGCAATCTTGGTGTTGCTACTATTGATTATATTGCTAATGTTACGATTGATCATCTGTTTGGACGCTGATCTGGCAGTGGCATGTGATGCAGCTGACAGCGATGCCACTCTGACACATGACGACAGTCCTCTGTTCATCATTGTTTATTTATTTTTGTATATAATATATTATATGTATGTGTAATCAGTATGACTCGTCTTGATCTGATTGATCATTCATTGTCGGCAAAAGCAAGTGTGTGTGGACATGGAATGATGATGGTTGAGGAGTGTGTTTGGTAAAAAATTGGTCATTCTTGCTGAACTTCGCTTCAAACATTGAACACACAACACAATGCGAATTACGAATTGAACAACTTATGTGTTGAGGGTTAGTTAGTCCACAACACTAAGGTAGAGGATGTTATACTCAACATTTAGATGCCCTTTAAGGTTTGTGTGTTCCACATGTCAATGATAAAGGTTGACTTTGTATTTATTTGGATTAAAGAGATCCAAACATCACTCTTAGATATCTTGTTTAAGGTTCAATGTATATCACTCACTATGTTCACACTGTACATATTAGTATTATAGACTATGAATCTAATCTAATGACTGGAGGTAGGTGAGTAGGGTAGGTAGGTAGGTAAGTGGGAATGACTGGTCAACCAATGAAGAGCGTATGTATGTTGTTTATCTATGAACTATAAATATGATAAATGTTTGTTAGAATATTATAACAATTCAATTCAATTATTTATTTATTTATTTATTTATATATATAACAAATAATAATGAAGATCCAATTGGCTTTGTTATTAGTAACTCTGGTTGCAATTTATGCTCAGATTGAACCATCATGTCATTACCTAAGTATGTTTTAAATATTCATAAGTTTGAATGTTTGGAATAGTTCCATGTTCACTCACTAACTAATATTATTGCTGGATATAGATGTTAACGCAGCTAGGATTGACCCAACTTACTWKATGAGGGTACAGGTGGTCACTCGATAACATTCGGTGATGCCAATATACCGGGTGGAAATACGATCTGGGACTTTTACCAAGATCGCGCAACAATTTTGAATGATGGAGAGTTGGTGTCATTGTCTGGCACTTTGGTTCCACCAGGTCACACATGGCCTTACATGGAGGCCAAGCTTGTCCTCCGTCGCGCAAAGGGTTCATTTATGCCAAAACAAGAGTTGAAGCCAAGCGCCTACGTTCCATACGGCCCAGTTGACCCACAACTCTGGACCTACTACACACTCGAGTCATCCACCATTGAGTGCTTTGGAGGTGAGATCGATGGAATGACCATCGAACTATCTGAACATATGGACATGCCCATGCAAGTTGGCATTGGTGCCAGCGGAAAGAACGTTGTCAATGGATTGTCGTCATGGTACAACTTCAAGTTCATGAAGAATGGTCAGGTCGTCTACACTTCGGACCAGGTCGTCGATATCAACGTGGACATTGACTGCTCAGATTGTGAATATGACCGCTACCACGCCAAGGCTGCTGCAGCTCAATCAATCTGGATCAATGCCGAAGACTTGACTCCATTCGGTGGCTACAACTCCTGGGACTTCATTGACAACAGGGGTGAGGTTTCACTCAACCCAGACTACTCAATCACTGTCTCTGGCATCTTTGGATCAACTACCAACGACACAATCCCCATCATGAACTGCAACTTTGAGTTCATCCCAGACATTCAAACATTCCGTTCAATGAAGTTGGAGTTGGCCGAGCAGGTCTACTTCCCCACTGGCCCAGTTGATGTTGGCACCTGGTTCTACTACCGTGTCAACCCAGCCAAGTCCAGCTGCATCATGTACAATGGATACTTGGTGACAATCGTCGATGACAAGAACATGCCAGCTCAAGTTGGCTATGGTGCCAATGGTAAGAACCAGAACTTTGGTCTCTCAGTTTGGATGAGCTTCAAGGCTACTGCACCCAATGGAACTGTTACCTTCCTCTCATCAGATGTTATGGATATCAACATTGACATGGAGTGCATCAACATCCCACCTCCCACCATCCCACCAACTCAACCACCCACAGCTCCACCAACTACTCCACCAACTCAGCCACCCACAGCTCCACCAACAGCTCCACCAACTCAGCCACCAACTCAGCCACCAA